TACGGAACGGACTGCGGGCCTTGTCTGCGAACGATTTGGCGGAAGAGGATGAACCTCCCCATGACCCTCGACGCACCAGCATCACTCCTACTGAGTTCTTCAAACTCGTCAAGAAGTTATTCAGCTCCTACAAGGAAGCGGATATCCTGGCAATCCTCAAGCGATGTGTAGTCATGGTGTTTGGGAAGCATGCGTTCTATCTTAGGTTGCCGAGCCAGGATCCGGCAGCTCCCATTCATTGCATTCATCAGGAAGATCTTCATCTCGACCTATTCACGGAGCGAGACAAGCCCTACTACGCCAAGTACAAGGTTGGTGTCCAGGAATTGCCCCCCACGCACTCGGACGACGTAGATTGGGAACAAGACCTTCTTCAACGAGGCATGCAGGAACTACAGCACGCTGGTCGTCCGGAAACGTATCTTCGCGAAGTCAACCAAGCCATTGCTACAAGGGTGTTATCGTCAACTATGACCGATACTGCTGTTCATCTACCGGCATCCCCATCGACTGATGAGGAGAGCCGCGTGCCAGTGCCACATCCCGAGGCTCTGCCAGTTGCTTGTACAAACCCTCCCCGCAGGATCGGCACCTTCAACTTTCCTCCGAGCAAGAGACGCTTGACTCAAAAAACGTCAGTGTCTACCGAAATCCACGAGGGTGCTGAAGGCCATGTCCCAAACGATCAGGCAACATCAAGTGGAGCGGGCCGTGCCGCTCCTGAAGATGATCCGGATGAGGAGGCTGCCCGTGACATGCACAATTAGATGTTTCACCATCATTTTGTTGGCTCCGGGCCAAGATGGCAACGCTAGGGAGGCGGCCTGTATGAACAGGACTCGACATGATGACCTCTTCAGTAGGTTCGCTTGGACCTGCGTGTGAGTGCTCCTCATGAAGTGATTGTCTCCGACTCTATCACTTGTCCAGTGGCTGATTAGCTTTACTTTCCTGCCATAGCCGCGTCCTGTTCCCGCCATGAAGCGCCCGGCAACCCTCAAGAAGCCCAGTGCCTCCTTCCATAAGAAGATCCACAAGGACGGCAAGAACAAATGTTCCTTCGTGTTCCCTTCAGACGAATGCCCCGTCTGCCATAAGAAGCTCTTCATCCGCCAGGAGAAAATCGTTGATGCAATTTTGATTGGCGCCGAAACAATAACCGATGTGAACACTGTTTCCAAGCAGTGCAACATGTGCCGCAACACTGTGCGGCACAACCTGGTCACCCTTGGAAAAGAGTTGGTCAACACCATGTCGTTAGAGGAAATGCGAACCACGGGTGCCTTTTTCGTCACTTCGAAGACTGCTTTCTCCATCCCCTTCCTGGAGCTGACGTATCTTCGATTGTTGCGGGGCAAGCTTGCGCCAGGACAGGAAGCAGCTGTGCTACAGCTCTACCATGTCGGGGACGACAGACTTCCGACTGGACGTCGTCTTCGAGAGCTTCTTCTGCGTGCCCTCGAAGGCTTTGCGGTGGCCCAAAGGACTCCCAAGCAGGCAAGCAACTTCAACATGGCCTACCCCGCGGCACACCTCACGAAGATGGATAAAGTCCTCCTCTTTCCACCATCGGATGCGGTGGACGCGATTTCCTTTGATGGCCACTTCGGCATCCACCGTGGCCTATGCCCAGTCGATCCGCCAAGGACGGTGCGACTTAAGGGGCACCCCCGCAAGAAGATCCTTAGAGAACATGACCGCAGCTGCACTTGCCGGTCGAAGGATTCTATTCGGGTGGTTCTCCCTCAGCGAACTGCCGGCTGGCATTTCGCAGTTGATCCCTCGAGCCGGAGAGTCCTTGGAGCCGTGGAGCATGTTCAAAACGAAAACAACAAGGACAAGGTTCGTCTCCTCAAGGCGGTGATGAACATGGACCAAGTGGAGGCCGACTTGCTGATTCACGACGATATCTGCCACTTCCAACAGTATGCCTCTCGCAAGAAGCATGCAACAGACTTCAACTCCATTCGCTACTACGTGGTCGATGCATTCCATGCACCTAACCACAAGTGTTCAAAGTCAACTTGGACTCCAGCTGAGCGAAGGCGCTGTCGCAATGTCAGAACAAATGTATCCGAGTCCTTCAATGCGTGGGTTCGCAGCTTGAATTTCTTTCTTAACAACCTCCGTCCCAAGTCCCATCGCTTCTGGGTACAGGAAATGTGTAACTTCTACAACAACAATCTGCAGTCTGTCCCGATTCGCATTTCCCGACGCAGAAATGTCCTTGGCAGAGCCAAGAAGATGTTGAAGCGTCCCGCAGCTGTGCAGATGTTGAAGCGTCCCGCTGCTTTGCAGATGTTGAAGCGCCCTGCTGCCATACAGAAGCGTCCGGCCAGTTCTCGTTAGGTTTGTGCGGTGCGTCGCAGTTTGAAGGTTTCAACCTCATAGCAAGTGGTGCCTCCAGTCTGGCTGGAAGCTTGTGCATCCACGTATTGGGCTCGAAAGACATGCAGCTGCTGAGAAATCCAATAAAAACTGCTGCACATGCTCTGCAGTCCGTGCAGTGGTTGGCAAGTAGAACCTGAAAATCAGCAGCCCGCCCCCAACCCCAGTCATCCAAGGTCACTGGTCTGCAATGATGCATCGCAACTTGGAGGGCTTGAGGGTTTTTTGGTTTTGGTTTGATAATTCCATGTTTGCTTTTCCTTGGTACGTCGTTCCCGACCACTACAAACCTTGAAAACGATAGGTTCCCACAACGTCCTCCTCCCCAGAAGAGGACGCTGTGGGAACCTATGGTTTTGTAGTTTTCGGTATCGGTTGCATGGTTTTCGGAATTCTCACAGCGTTCCCTTCGGTAGCATATAATAGTTAGCTTGCCATAGACATGGAATTCAAGATTTCCCGAAAAACTTTCCACAGGTATCTTGGATCTTGGATTCCGGGGGGGGGGGGGCTATTGAGGTTAAATCGCCGATATTTAACCTCAATAGCCCCCCCTCCGGAATCCAAGATCCAAGATGCCCCTAGAAAGTTTTTCGGGGAATCTTGGATTCCATGGTTAGGGTTTATTGAGGTTCAATAGCCGATATTTAACCTCAATAGCCCTCCCCCCGGAATCCAAGATTGTCTGAAAAAAACTTTCTGGGGACATCTTGGATCTTGGATTCCGGGGGGGGGACTATTGAGGTTCAATCGCCGATATTTAACCTCAATAGCCCCCCCCCCGGAATCCAAGATCCAAGATGCCCCTAGAAAGTTTTTCGGGGAATCTTGGATTCCATGGTTAGGGTTTATTGAGGTTCAATAGCCGATATTTAACCTCAATAGCCCTCCCCCCCGGAATCCAAGATTGTCTGAAAAACTTTCTGGGGACATCTTGGATCTTGGATTCCGGGGGGGGGGCTATTGAGGTTCAATCGCCGATATTTAACCTCAATAGCCCCCCCCCCCCCGGAATCCAAGATCCAAGATGCCCCTAGAAAGTTTTTCGGGGAATCTTGGATTCCATGGTTAGGGTTTATTGAGGTTCAATAGCCGATATTTAACCTCAATAGCCCTCCCCCCGGAATCCAAGATTGTCTGAAAAACTTTCTGGGGACATCTTGGATCTTGGATTCCGGGGGGGGGGCTATTGAGGTTAAATCGCCGATATTTAACCTCAATAGACCCCAGCTGCCCGCTGCAGGTCTCTCGACTGCAATGTGGCGCAACTTGGAGGGTGTTAGTGCAACAGTATCGGGCTGGAACCTCCAGCCTTCTGAAGTGCAGCATCTTCTGGCCATGTCTAGCATACAACCTCCCAGACGGTGAGGACAATGATGACAAACACATGTGCAGATTTCGGCTAAAGACAAGTCAAACACTGTAGCACAGCAACGTTTCACCCGTTTCACTGGCAGACATGCTGCCTTTTCAGGTATCAGGGAAAGCTATTGTAGATGGCCAGCGGGTTTTGTTATCGCTCGAGCCGGCAGCGGCCGCACCAGCAGAGCCATACCCACGCAAAGATGTATCGTCCCCCCCAGACATCGAGGAGCTGATGAACGCCATCCATGCGGGTCGTGTGCCGGTCCATTCATCACGCCGACCCCTATCCAAGCAAGATGTACGAGTTATGATTAGCAATACGCGGTACGCGCTTCGTATGAAGGAGGCCACTTGGAGTCAGGAAGCCGAGCTCAGACTACTCCGCCCTTTGGTGCAAAGCAAACGGTCTCGTGCACCCAACAACGCCAAAGCAATCAAGGACAAGGACTCCGCCAATGCCAAAGCCATCAAGGACAAGGACCCCGCACCCATTGAGGATGGCAAGTCCGAAGATGAGAATCACCACAGCAAGGAGACCAACAATAAGGACGAGCACAACAACCCCTACCGCGAGACGGACGAGCACGAAAGCCTGGACTCGAATGCCCACAACAAGAAGGACGACCCCATGGACACGACCGGCGACAACGAGAACATGAAGAAGGACGAGGCCATGGACGAGAAGATGGACGCGAACACGAATGGTGGCAACCTCGGCAACAACCAGAACGGAAACACGTACGAGAATCGCATCACTGAGGTTGCCAGTGTCGACGAGATGGATGTTGACGAGGACGACAAGGATGTGCCAATCAATGCGGACAACCACGTCGGAGATTCAGATTCCAGCTCGAGCTCATCATCTTCGTCGGCTTCGACTAGCAAGAGTGCTCTAAGGCGGCAAATTACGGAGCTGCGGCATGATCTTCTTGAAGTCACGAACGACTTGTTCATGGCCAACGAAGAGCTGGGCGTGAACCGCTGAAAGCCATAGCTCCGTGAAACAGATGGCAGATGGTAACAGAAAACACAGTCGTGTAGAGAGTCTATGTCGGCAGTCCTAGCTCTGTATGTGCACTCATCTCCTCTCAGGTCCCAAACCGTGGATGTATTACTTGCAACCATGACCCGCCCTACTTGGCTCAGTTGTAGTGTATTCACAGACGATCGTCCTCCCATTGCTTATCGGCTTCCGCTCTCTGGCTTTGGTCATCATGAACCCTAGCGGGAGGATTCTAGATGAGGCCATGAAGAAGTACGGCTCCAATGAGTGGAGTTTGGTGGACCTGAATAAACCGGTTTACCTGAACAAGTCACCTCCTCTTGTACCTGCTGACTTGTCCTTTCACACCTTCCAGCAGTATGTCTGCCGACAGGACGTCGCCGCCAAGCAGTGCCAGGTGGTGCTGGACCTGCACACGAACATTACCGAGTTCGGAAATGTGGCTTCCATATGTCAAAGGCTTTCTGAACTGGATCACTCGGGTCTTCCAGCATTGTTGCAGCCGTCGGAGGACAACCTTCCTCACGGCTGTACGATCTCCTACATCATGCACAACCACGAGGACGGTACCATGGACGTCCTTCGCGTACTCAAATTTCCCACCAAGGTCAGTGTGAAAGATGCCAAGAACTTGTGCAGTGGCCAAGCTTTGTTTCCCGCGCATCGACAGGGACCCTGGGCATGGAAGAAAGCCATCCATTCTCTACTGGATCGACTCCCCGGTCATCATGTGGTCTGGTGGTCCCTGGACCGCAAAGATAAGGAGATAAAGCGTGCCACATCCGCGGTCTGGACGGCGGAAGAAGATGAACTTCGCGAGGGCGTCACATTCGTGAATAAGTATGCACCGGAAGATGATTCGGAGAATCAACAATATCTGTGGATTCTCACCAATATCCGGCTAGACAGCGGGTCGCCCATTGCAGGGTGGCCCGAGGGGAAAGTGATCCGCATGGCGCAGAACAAGTCTCGAGGCACGACAGGTGCCACCTCATTGAGCTTCTTCCCCTTTACGGTCAGAAGCTTGAAACCGTTCATGGGCGAGTTCCTCGTACCTCTAATCGGTCCATTGCTAACTTCTTATGGCATACTCACCCTTGGATGGCCAGGGGTAGGCAAGACCCCATTCCTCATCTTGCTAAGCTTGGCGATGGGTCGCTACCACATCCAACGGCTGAACTTGGACGGAGTGATGCCGGCATGGCGCCGTGCCAAGGGCATCGACAACTTTCGTCACAAGATCGGGCAGATCCATGAGGGGTTGATTCTCGATGATCCGTCCATGGACCGGATTGACGCAGCCGATGTGAAGTCATGGCTCACGGCCGAGGAGGATCAGAACTGTAGCAGCCGATATACAGATGTGAAGTTGGTACGGAACGGACTGCGGGCCTTGTCTGCGAACGATTTGGCGGAAGAGGATGAACCTCCCCATGACCCTCGACGCACCAGCATCACTCCTACTGAGTTCTTCAAACTCGTCAAGAAGTTATTCAGCTCCTACAAGGAAGCGGATATCCTGGCAATCCTCAAGCGATGTGTAGTCATGGTGTTTGGGAAGCATGCGTTCTATCTTAGGTTGCCGAGCCAGGATCCGGCAGCTCCCATTCATTGCATTCATCAGGAAGATCTTCATCTCGACCTATTCACGGAGCGAGACAAGCCCTACTACGCCAAGTACAAGGTTGGTGTCCAGGAATTGCCCCCCACGCACTCGGACGACGTAGATTGGGAACAAGACCTTCTTCAACGAGGCATGCAGGAACTACAGCACGCTGGTCGTCCGGAAACGTATCTTCGCGAAGTCAACCAAGCCATTGCTACAAGGGTGTTATCGTCAACTATGACCGATACTGCTGTTCATCTACCGGCATCCCCATCGACTGATGAGGAGAGCCGCGTGCCAGTGCCACATCCCGAGGCTCTGCCAGTTGCTTGTACAAACCCTCCCCGCAGGATCGGCACCTTCAACTTTCCTCCGAGCAAGAGACGCTTGACTCAAAAAACGTCAGTGTCTACCGAAATCCACGAGGGTGCTGAAGGCCATGTCCCAAACGATCAGGCAACATCAAGTGGAGCGGGCCGTGCCGCTCCTGAAGATGATCCGGATGAGGAGGCTGCCCGTGACATGCACAATTAGATGTTTCACCATCATTTTGTTGGCTCCGGGCCAAGATGGCAACGCTAGGGAGGCGGCCTGTATGAACAGGACTCGACATGATGACCTCTTCAGTAGGTTCGCTTGGACCTGCGTGTGAGTGCTCCTCATGAAGTGATTGTCTCCGACTCTATCACTTGTCCAGTGGCTGATTAGCTTTACTTTCCTGCCATAGCCGCGTCCTGTTCCCGCCATGAAGCGCCCGGCAACCCTCAAGAAGCCCAGTGCCTCCTTCCATAAGAAGATCCACAAGGACGGCAAGAACAAATGTTCCTTCGTGTTCCCTTCAGACGAATGCCCCGTCTGCCATAAGAAGCTCTTCATCCGCCAGGAGAAAATCGTTGATGCAATTTTGATTGGCGCCGAAACAATAACCGATGTGAACACTGTTTCCAAGCAGTGCAACATGTGCCGCAACACTGTGCGGCACAACCTGGTCACCCTTGGAAAAGAGTTGGTCAACACCATGTCGTTAGAGGAAATGCGAACCACGGGTGCCTTTTTCGTCACTTCGAAGACTGCTTTCTCCATCCCCTTCCTGGAGCTGACGTATCTTCGATTGTTGCGGGGCAAGCTTGCGCCAGGACAGGAAGCAGCTGTGCTACAGCTCTACCATGTCGGGGACGACAGACTTCCGACTGGACGTCGTCTTCGAGAGCTTCTTCTGCGTGCCCTCGAAGGCTTTGCGGTGGCCCAAAGGACTCCCAAGCAGGCAAGCAACTTCAACATGGCCTACCCCGCGGCACACCTCACGAAGATGGATAAAGTCCTCCTCTTTCCACCATCGGATGCGGTGGACGCGATTTCCTTTGATGGCCACTTCGGCATCCACCGTGGCCTATGCCCAGTCGATCCGCCAAGGACGGTGCGACTTAAGGGGCACCCCCGCAAGAAGATCCTTAGAGAACATGACCGCAGCTGCACTTGCCGGTCGAAGGATTCTATTCGGGTGGTTCTCCCTCAGCGAACTGCCGGCTGGCATTTCGCAGTTGATCCCTCGAGCCGGAGAGTCCTTGGAGCCGTGGAGCATGTTCAAAACGAAAACAACAAGGACAAGGTTCGTCTCCTCAAGGCGGTGATGAACATGGACCAAGTGGAGGCCGACTTGCTGATTCACGACGATATCTGCCACTTCCAACAGTATGCCTCTCGCAAGAAGCATGCAACAGACTTCAACTCCATTCGCTACTACGTGGTCGATGCATTCCATGCACCTAACCACAAGTGTTCAAAGTCAACTTGGACTCCAGCTGAGCGAAGGCGCTGTCGCAATGTCAGAACAAATGTATCCGAGTCCTTCAATGCGTGGGTTCGCAGCTTGAATTTCTTTCTTAACAACCTCCGTCCCAAGTCCCATCGCTTCTGGGTACAGGAAATGTGTAACTTCTACAACAACAATCTGCAGTCTGTCCCGATTCGCATTTCCCGACGCAGAAATGTCCTTGGCAGAGCCAAGAAGATGTTGAAGCGTCCCGCAGCTGTGCAGATGTTGAAGCGTCCCGCTGCTTTGCAGATGTTGAAGCGCCCTGCTGCCATACAGAAGCGTCCGGCCAGTTCTCGTTAGGTTTGTGCGGTGCGTCGCAGTTTGAAGGTTTCAACCTCATAGCAAGTGGTGCCTCCAGTCTGGCTGGAAGCTTGTGCATCCACGTATTGGGCTCGAAAGACATGCAGCTGCTGAGAAATCCAATAAAAACTGCTGCACATGCTCTGCAGTCCGTGCAGTGGTTGGCAAGTAGAACCTGAAAATCAGCAGCCCGCCCCCAACCCCAGTCATCCAAGGTCACTGGTCTGCAATGATGCATCGCAACTTGGAGGGCTTGAGGGTTTTTTGGTTTTGGTTTGATAATTCCATGTTTGCTTTTCCTTGGTACGTCGTTCCCGACCACTACAAACCTTGAAAACGATAGGTTCCCACAACGTCCTCCTCCCAAACCTTAAAGCCTAGAGGTCCTAAGTCCTGCCTGGACCCTGAAGAACTTTTTGGGGTTCCTTAATATGATTTCTTTACATAAGTCCTTAAAAAGGTAGGTTATTTGGGGTTAAGGTAAGTCCTAACTGCTAACCCCATAAACCCGAAACTCCAAATCACAGGACAAGCCCCTCCGACCAAAAGCTTTCAGCTGCCAAGCCGTAAAGCCTAACTCCAATGAAGGGTTTAGGGTTTAGGGTCCAAGTACGCTAATCATATACTCTCCCAACTGGTAAACTGCATAGCTACCAAGTATCCGAAACCTAAGTACCGAATTACTGGGTCCTTTGGACCCTAAACCCTAAACCCTGCACCCTGAAGCTGACGGGGTCCTTTGGATCCTTAGGGTAACTCTTGGATGGCCAAACCCTATACCCTTATAGAATCCCTGTAGATCCCCTTAAAGGGACCCTTAAAGAAACCCTTATAGCTACCCTATAACTACCCATGAACCTCCAAGTAGCTCTTGGATGGCAGGATCAGAAGACGCAGACTAACTGGCCGCTTCGGATCCACGACCATTCGGGCAGCTTGGATGTTGAGCTCGGATGTTGAAAGTGTTTGGGGTTTAGGGTTTGGGGATTGGGGTTTGGGGTTTGGGGGGGGTGCTTTAAGGGTCTAGGGTTTAGGGATTCGGGGTACCTTTAAGGGTTTAGGGTCTAGGCTTTGGGGTTCGGGGGGGGTACTTTTTTGCGTTTCTAGAGTGTTTCTAGTAAAGGTGTTTTTGAAGGTTTCTATGAAGGGTTTGTGTCTGAGCGTTAATCGAGTTCAGGGCTGACGATCTAGAGTTTGGCCTTAGGGAAACCGCAGGTTTAGGACATAGGGTGCACCGTACTTCGAAAATGACAAGATTTCTCCGTGAAAGAGACAATCGATGCCCTGACTATCAAAGGGCACACGCATGGCAATGATTTCAATCGTTTCTGAGTGGAATCCGTGTCTTTGAGGGTGTACCAATTTCCTTGATGGTCGCATCGATTGCTAGAAGCACAACGGAAACAGTAGCAGACAAGTGAAATCAATAGCAATAGCAAAGACAATAGCCGCGGCACACGTCCCTGGAACTATAGAAGACCTGCAATGTCCCCTAAACCCAAAACCCAAAACCCTACGTAGACCCTACACCCGCAGTAAGCTTCCACGGCCCCTTTTGGTTTGGGATTTTAGGCCGAACCGGGACCACCCTGAACCCCTGAAAACCCCAAAGCCTAAGATCCCCAACCCCCAAAACCTACGAAACTCAATCCCAAATCCTGCAGCTCTTCTTTAAGGCTCTTGGAGACTTTGTTACTTTGTTCCTTTTTTGGTTCAGGTCTTCTTTTATAGGGGTCTCCGAAAAAGTAGTTTTTTGCTTACCTTCCAAGGGGAGTAGAGTCTTGATTTTTGAAACTGCAAAGCTTTGGGTCTAGGGGTTTAGTTTAGGGCTGAAGATTCACGGTTTCGGGGCTTAGGGTTCAAGGGAAATAACGTAAGACAGAGGTTCGCCAGATAGTTCTATCTAATGATACTTCATTGCTTCCTTGTTCGAAGTATTCAGGCCACAACAGTAGGCCCCTAGCCACAGCCCTGAACCACAAACCAACATCGCCTTCAATTTCACATTTCCATGCCGCCCTAACCCCGAAGCCATACACACACGAGCCCGTAAGCCCTGAACCCATAAAAATCCGAACCTTAACACTCCTCAAGTCCTAAAGTCGTATAAACCCCAAGCCCTAAACCGGAACCCTTAAAAGAGCCCTTCAAAGAACGCTTAAAGGAACCCCTCAAGGAACCCTCAAAGGAACCCATGCCAAAACCCTTTGCCCGAGGACTGGAGCACATCATCCCAAACAGTCCTGGCCAGACCCTGGGTCAAATAAGCTGGCTGGCCGGGTACCTTAAAGGGATCCTTTAAGGGTTCCTTTAAAGGGGTCTATAAGGGTTCTATGGAGGGTTTAGGGTTTGGGGAGTTTCCGAAAATTAGGGGTTACCTTTAAAGGGATCCTTTAAGGGCTCCTTCAAGGGATCTATAAGGCTTCTATAAAGGGTTTCGGGCTTGGGAGTCTCCGAAAAGTAGGGGTACCTTATTTTGGGGTCCTTCTATAAGGATCCTACCAATTCCCCAATCATATACTCTCCAAAATCCTAACCTACATAACTACTATCCTAAAACCGAGTACCTAGTTATTGGGTCCTTTGGACCACTGGGGTTTAGGGTACTTTAGGGCCCCCTGTTTTCGGAAAAACCTCAAATTCCGAAAAGTAGGGGTACCTTAATTCGGGGTCCTTCTATAAGGATCCTACTATTTAGGGTACAAGATTCGGGCCCCTTGTCTTCGGAAACTCCCAAATAAGCTGGCTAGCCAGACCTGGGTCTCGCAAGCCTGGGTTGTCCTTTGGATTTCGGGTTTCGGGCTTTCCCCTACTATCTTGTAGAGAACCATAATAGTAAGTGATTCTCAAAGGGCTTAAAGGACAACTCAGAAGCTGGGTTTAGGCCTTAAAGTTTCAGAGATTAGGGCTTGCAAGTGGTTGCCGTGGTTCCCCAAGTATGAAGTAGAGACAGCACACGGGTCGTAGGGCTGATGCTCGGCGTCGGCAATGCGGACACAGCTCAATGTTTTCCCTATCGCCCCAGGGCTCTCGATCACTAACAAACTGCGGAGTACCAGGATGCGTACGAGCAGACAAGCTTAAAGCTTGCATGACCCGGTACCCGGCCCCTAAAAGAGATACATGTGATCCTGAATCAAATAACTGCAAATCTCTTCGGAATCTGGCTCACCTGTGTGTGCCGGCTCATCACCCTCATTCGGAACGTTTCCCAGTGGAGGTAGGCCTTCTGCTTTTCGACGCCTGGCGGACTTCATGTTGGGGTCCTCGACGATACGCCACGCGTGACCCATCCGGTAGTAGAGTTCCAACTCGTGTCCCCCGTGCATCTTGGTCAAGGAGTTCGCCAACTGCGCCTCCGAGTGTACCCACCGCACATGTAGCTGCGTTCGTTGTTGGGCCTCTTTCACGCTCAGGAGTTCGATATTAGACTTTCTCTCGGCTCCCTTCATGCTTAACACCTCGGTGTGCAATTTGTCATACACGTTCCGGCTGTCAGTAATCAAAGTTCCCTGAACCTTGCGCACGCAACTATCAGGATCCATCACGTCCAATTCTCCGAAACAAATCTCGCTCCACTGGTAGCGAGCGAAATACAACAGGTCCTCTCCTGAGATGGCTGCTTGGGTTTCGGAGGCTCCAGGACTTCTACAGGCCCTATCGATCTTGTTCGAGTGCCACGACATAAGAGACACCTGACCGACCTCGCCCTGCAACATGGAAACAGGAGCCAATCCAATAAGAATTCCTTGGGTGCTACTACCATCAGGTCGATTCTGAGATCCGGCATCCACCCACGCGAAAGCCCCAAGCTCTTCAGACTCATTGAATGCATGTATTATCATTGCATGGTCCTTGCGGGCCCGCACCTGTGATAACAGTCTGTTGGCACGATTGATCAGAGACACCTTGCTTTTGCTCACCTCAGACAACATCAAGCTGACATCCGCCGAAAGGTGTGGCGCGACCTGTTGTGCGTGCCAACTCAATGCTCCTAGTAGCCCCCTCAACTGAGACTTCTCATAAGGAGTCGTGTCTTCTTTTTCCTGTTTCCGCCTACTGCTGTTCAGGGGAATTTCCGGAATGCCTTCAACGTAGTTGGGTTGGGATAACCGAAATTGGCCTGGGCCTCGAGTCACTTGCACACCACACTGCATGAACACATCTTTATCCCAGTCACCCCACTTAAAGCGTTCCTTGATGTTCCGAATGATTCTCTGCCACTCAGCATCTTCTTCATCCCCCGAAAACAGGAAGTCATCCACATGCCCTGAAATAATTCCTTTCACCTGACCATCCTTCCGAAAAACCCAGGCGCACGCGTCAGACCATAATCTAGTGAGTCCTTGGGCCTCAAAGTACTCGGCAACAGTCCGATACCATTCAAGAGGAGCGTCAACTAATCCGTAACAAGCTTTACGCATCCGAACTACACTCCCTCCTTGCAGTCCCATTGCTTCACAGATTTCATCGCATGGAATGCACAAGAGCGTCTCTGGATACTCTCGCCCCTGTAGGAATGCTCCGGAAACATCTCCTTTGTACACGGACCACTTCCGATTCAAAGCGAGCTGCAGTACCATTTGACGCGTCTGACGCGTCATGACTGGACTGGTCGTTGATCTGTGAGCATACGACGGGTCTTGATATCCCAAAAGTACTGCCCTGGCTTTTGCCTTCTGGGAACCGTCATCGCGTGTCTTCCAGGTGAGCAGCCAGCGCATGCCCATAGCCTGACTCCGATCGGGCTTCATTCCCGGCGGCAATGCTTCAAATGCACGCGAGGCCACAAAGTTCTTCACCTCAATGGCTTTGGCCTCTTGAAAACACTGCCGTTCTCCTTCTGATAGTCGCTTTTCCGACATCTCCACAGCACGACGCTTGAGAGCACTCGCAAAGTACCCGCACAAGTTGCGGGAGGCTTGTTCAATACCTCTCTTACTTGTCGGCATGTCTATGGCCACTTCGACTGCAGCATTCTCCTCAGCCCAGTAGCTGCAGTGTTCTCCAAAATGTGCCTCTGGCACCTGGTCCCACCAACCTTCGGCACACAGCGCTCCTCCTGGCCAGTGCTGGACAGTCCGTGGCCGTTGTGCTCGACTCGGGGCAGAAGGAGTGCTCGGTTCCTCGTTTAGAGCATCATGCATATCCGTGGCTGCTTCGGGCTCTCCCCGTTTTCCCCTCACTCGATGACGAGGCGTTGCAAACCTTTGTGGCTGATCCTCCTGTTCAGGATCTTGTGCACGGACCCACTCGCTTTCAAGGGGCACCTCTCCAGAGATATCCTCGTAGCGATTGCCTCCTATTTCTTCAGCCACTTTTCGAAAAGTCCACGGCGTGCCTCCCTCGGAGGTCTTGGAAGCCAGTGCCTCCAAATGCTCTTCGCGAGCCGATGCATGTCGCAACTGTTCGGGGCTGCATTTCATCAAAGACCTCCCCCGAACCAGCCACACAGAACTCCCCGGTCTCAAGGAGCCATCGGACTCCTTACGTCCCTCTGTAGCCAATATCCTCGCAGGTCCCAGAAATCTCCCGTGTTTGCTTCCAGGACTCTTGCGTCCCTGGCCGCTCTCTTGTGTCCTCCAGAAGTACACGAGGTCACCTGGTGAGTAGGTGGCACATGGACGGCTGCGGGAGTTCATGGCCCGATTGATTCTTTGTTGGGCTTGCCAATCACACAGTGCTTTCTCAGCTTCGGCTCGTGCGCGAGCTGCCCTTGCAAATTCCTCACTCGCATTTTCCACGACCTGATCATCGGGCAGATCTCCAGGTCGTTGGATCATACGCCCTGTAACATCTGGATTCCTTCCAAATGCGTGCTGTATGGGGGTAAACCCTCTAATCTGTTCCCGGCTGTTGAATACTTCGATGGTCAAAGCCAAACCCTCTTCTGGAGTCATCTCATCGTCTTCTGCACACAGTCTATCCAATACATGCTTGATTCCCTTCACAGCTTGCTCGCAGACTCCCAATTGCCAGCGTGCGTCCGCGGGTATCAGATCCAAATATATGCTATTCCTGTCACAGTAATCTTCTACTTGTTTGCTCCGGAATGCACCAGCAGGATCCAGTCGTATCACATCTGGTCTACCAAAAATCTGGTTCCAGCCTTCTCGCAGGTAGGCCAGGCAAGTAGCTGCTGAAGGTTGCTGTTTACTGCCGCGGCTCAGGATCTTGGCTACTTTGAATCGGGAACCCTCATCCACAATGATCATAAACTGGACATGCTCACCCGTGCGGGGATGCACCCAATGCCCTATGTCAGCCGATATGGTGTGCCATCGCGGGGGCAACACTTCTAAGGATGCTAGATTGCGGGGTGGCGGTCGCTTCCGTTCTTGACACGCAGCACACTGAAACTTTTGAGCAACTTCCAACACTCTCTCAGACACTCCTCTTCGTTTCAAGGCATCAAGCATCGTTCGAACACTTCCATGTCCCGTGGCAGAGTGTAACAGGTGCAGCTGTTTCATTATGCGCGCCTCTTCCTGAGCACTACTTCCACTCGACGCGACATACCCCTCATGCTGTGCATGTTGTGGCGTCACCGTGTGGGCGGTCTTTGGGGGAAGGGTGAACCCAGCTTGTTTGGCTTGCTTTCTCTCAGACTCACTTAACTGATGCGCTCCCCGGGACACAAACGCCGTCAACACAAACCGCTCTCCAGTCCACTTCTGTGTCTCATGCCACAGCTTGGGAGAAAACTGAACAACCTTCCCTTTGAGATCATGAACCCGGCCTGTGATCCACTCTCCATTGGGAAGTTGTCGTCGAGAAGTGGCTTCCGTCGAAGGATCCATAGACCCCCATGCTCATATTCTCCTAATCCTATGCTGTGATTGTCATACTTTCCATCATTGTTCACGTCACGGTGCAAAGGAACCAAATTGTTCAGACTGATGGTAATAGAGGATCTACAGTAAGGGCCTCCAGACCAGTTTTCCAGAAACGCGTTCATGTATTGAGTCACGCTCGGAAGGCGCCTAGTCTTTTGCGTCAGGCCATAGTAGGCATATACTCCCAACGTCACATACACAACTCGCAAGTCTCCTAGGATACGACGGTGTCGGTTGATGGGTTTCAGGGGCAAGTTCCTAAGGAGGTTCTCGCAGGTTTGGAGGCTGAAGTCCTTCTGGTTCAAGGAATCTTTGGCCTGCTGTTCCACATCTTGAACCTGCTCATCATTCATAAACGCCTCAAACTCTTCCAACGAAACTTCTTCATCCCCTTCGGAACACCCTGAATCCTGCCTCACCGGTGCCTCGCTCACCGAACACATTCCACACTTCCGACATTCTCCCGAAATACTCACCTCAGAACACGCGCAACACAACCCTTCGCCGAAGCCCTCCGAAAGATGACCCTGTCCCCTCAGTTCTTCTTGAACCTGGTTAGTAGTGAGTTCCTGCGTCAACACCGAAGCGACCTTCCTACAGAATTCAATGCTTTGGGGAGTTCCTCCTTGGGCCTTGGGTCCTCTTAAATCTCCATGCTGATACGTAGCTTCACATCGACAGGGCAGATTCAGAACTTCGGCAAGCCGGGGGCACGTAGTAGCAAGTTTCCAACCGTTGCGGACCAAGGGGCCTTCTGGGGAACCTCTCAAGTTCAACCTACACCCTTTCGCAACCATGACCTGCAAACCCCCACTCCGAAGCATCCTCTGAATCACTGGCAGTCTCCATCCGTTGCAGTGTTCTGGCCACTGCCATGTACAGTGCACCCCTAACTGTCTACACGCATGCATCACCGCAATAGCACCTAAGTACTCTTTGATGGCTTGGCTTCGTTTGGTTTTCAGCTCCACTTGTTGTTCAGGCGACCTTTGGTTCATTCGTTGTAAAGGAGAAAACGCTTCACTAGTTGGGTGTAACCACACATGCCTTGGTTTCTCAAGCTTGATACGACCCACGATCAAAGCAACTCCTTCAGCGGTACTTAGGTCACACCTGTCGTGCTTTCCACATTGGCTGGCGGCCTCCGGTCGTCCCAGAACGCTCTGAATCGTCGCTGACAGGATGCTGGGGGAAGAGCTTACCACTTCCAAGAGAACCTTCCTATCATCAACGACCAAACTCTCAAAAATCTGCGGAATCACCTCCGAACCCCACTGCTCAAGCTGCCGTGCCCGTCCTAAGCTAAGCTGCTTGCTCAACTTCTCAGATGCACTCATAGATGCAGCAGGGTCCTTCTCCTCCGCTTCGCTCGTCACACCGAGCTCGCCATCGAATATCCCGCCATCGACGGAGTGGAATCGCCCTCGTCGGCCACAGCCTTCTTGCGGGGGCGCTCGCCCTTCAAGGTTGCCACCTCCACCTTGAGCGACTCGATCGTCTGTACCAAGTTCGCCAGCATCTCGGTCCCCACTGTCACGGTGTCCGAGTCCTCGTCCATCTGGGCATGCGAACTGCGGGATCCTCGTCTTCCCGATCCTTTGCCCCGCGGTGCTGGGACCTCCTGGCGGGGAGTCGTCGGCTCGGCTGGGTAGCCCGCCACCTCGCTCTTGTCCGTCATCTTGGTCATCGTCATGAACTCGGCTTGGGCTCGCTGCACCACTGTGACATCGTTCGCAAGCCATCCGGCAAGGCGCCGGAGTCGAGGGTTGCATTGCCCCTCGCGGGCTGTCTGCACCACCCACGCGCAGTACTGCTCGTGACCCTCTTTCAACTTCTCGTAGGTCAGCTGGCTGTGGCGTCCGAAGCCCACAAGGTCGGTGGGATCGGGGTTGGCCTTGCCGTAGATCACCGACAAGGCCTCCTTCTGCAACTGCGCTATGGTCCAGTTGGGATTGACCTATATGTTGAGGTGCTGCCGGCACCATGCTTGCAGCGTAGACTTCCGAGTTGCGGCCTGGTTGAGGGCCGTCACATACGTCTTGTATTCGGACTTCTCCTTCTTCTGCGGCTTGGTGTAGTCGGTGCCCGTCACTTCCTCCACCCGCTGCAGCAGTTCCACTTTGGACCACTGCCGTGGTGCCTCCTCCCCGTGCTCGAAGAGGAGATGCCGAAGCTGCGAGGCGGTCTTGGGAGCCATGGCGATTCCTGAGCTCCGGTGGGATATCACAACTGGGCTTCCTCTCGGGCGATGGCGGCTGAGACCCATGAACACGTAGGTCATGGTGTACCGCTTCGTCGCGAGCTCGACACACACAAGGAGCTGACTCTTCAGAGATAACACTCAAACCTTGCTGACTACACTCATCACTGTGCTGTTCAGGATCACATCTATCACTGGGAATGGCAGGTCCTCTAGAACTCCCATTCTGGAACCCCTGTCCTGTAACTACTGCATTGACCTCCCCTTTCTCGACAGGACTCAAGTCAGAGAGGAGCTGTCCCTACACATCGGCAGGGGTCAAAAACCACTCAAGCCCCGGAACCTTCTGTACAGCGGTCTGGGCTTTTGCTAGCAAATCTTCAGAAAGAGGCACTACTAAGTGTCCTGTGGCCGTCTGCTCCAACGGTAGGATCTTCGTGTCGTCAATGCCTCGGAGCACCACCATCTTGGACCCAAAATCCACGAGGGCACCCAAGAGGCTCAAGGACTCGATGCTAAGAAGAATCGGGCCTTTCCCATGGTCCAGCGCATGGATCTGCACTGATCCTTGCCGTTTTCCCGCAGTGATTCCCATCTTCACAGTGGAAGCACACCGATTCATCGAGGAGTTCCCGAAGCTAAACACTGGGCGATTGGTGGTGTCCACAGACATCACACCGGGGTCTCCTTTGGCTCGGACGTTCATCTCCATCAAGCGCTCGATGGCATACACCGAACCAATACTACGGGTTGCCCCGCAGTCCAGGATTGCCTTTCCTTGGGCAACCGCGTCTTGAGTGCTGATGCCTGTAACCAGTGCTGCTTCCGGCTCTGATCTGGATGCCTCCGAGTATCCGATCAAGGAGGCTATCTCGGTGCTCTCGGGAATCTCCTTGGGCTCGGCCGTCTCATCGTTCTGCAAGATCACCTTGGCCTCGGCGGTCACCTGCGGGGACGGATCCTGGATCTCCTGGGCATTCTCCGTGGTCGGGCCGTCCACGTAGCAGATGAAAGAGGCCGTCGCGTCATTGGCCATGTTCGCTGTTGGTGGCGGCAAAGGACAATTCGCCGCCCTGTGCCCTTTCTTCTGACAGCGTAGACACACAAGTTGCGAATCGTCACGGGGCCTTTGGCTGGAGGCTGCCCCGCTGCTTCCTGGTCGATTTCCAACTTTGTAGTACTGTCTTGACATCTTCACTGCATGCTGCTTTGACCTTGCGTCTTTCAAGGTCCGCCGAGCCATGCCTATCGCTGCCATGGCCTCTTGGATGTCACTCTGGGCCTCGCTCCACATAGAGAAGCCCTCGTCGTCCAAGGTCTCCTGTGCCTCCAGAGCGTCCATAGCTTCCTCGGTGGTGTCGTCCCCTCCTTCATCATCTATGGACCCCCAGAACCCATGTTGTCGGCGGCTGCTGTCACGCTTCTTCATGTCTCCGTCGGTGAACAGGGTCCTCATCGCATGTGCCACTGCCTCCACGCTGTAGTCCTCACCCGTGGTCGTCATGACAAGGCCTCGCTCATTGGCGTCGAGGCCTGCGTCTTGGAGGAGCAGCCATCCTTGGATAAAATCAGGTAGAAGCTCTGGCAGAGAATTCTGGGTGGACTGGTATCGACTCCATGTGGATTCGGACCGCCAGGATGGCCATTGACCTCCTGAGTAGCTCCTCCACTCCCACCATGGACTTGACTGCCACCAAGCATCATTGTTCCATGTCCACTGTGCCGAGGGAGCCGTCGTGGACCAGTCCTCGTCGGGCTGGGTCTCCTCTGCGTCACCAGTGCCGGAGTCCATGGAAGTCCTGCGGCTCCAATTGCTCTGGTAGTTCCGCCACTCCGTGCCACCTCCTGATTTCTCCACTCTCCCGGGCTTGCCTAGGCGAGCCATTGCTTGTTGCGCTCGGAGATACACTTCACTTCTCCTCGCCACATAGTCGTTCACGCTCTCGCCCGGCTTCCTTCGACTATACTTGAAGAACTTGCTCAGGTGCTCCGTCACCTCCGAGATCTTTGGCCGGCCCAGTCCCTGGCGAAGCCGGTCCAGTAGCCTCTCCACGCCACCGGCGAAAGAGAGCCAATCTGGCGGTTGGCCCGTAATGAACTTCTTGGCCGACCCGGTCAACTCTGCCGCGATCCTCGGAGCCACCTGCGCCCGCTTGTAGGGCGCCGTCCCTTGCTCATACAATCTGGCGGCCTCCACAAACTCCGTGAAACTTCCCGGATCCCCATCCCATATTGGGACTCCGTCCTTCGTCCTCGTCTGTGAGGTCGCCCCACTTGACATCCTTGATCGGCCTGGCAGATCAAGGCTAGTTCCCCTGGATCGTCACCTCCTCAAACCTCTCTCAGGTTCAAGGCTCCAACGCTACCATGCAAGTGGTTGCCGTGGTTCCCCAAGTATGAAGTAGAGACAGCACACGGGTCGTAGGGCTGATGCTCGGCGTCGGCAATGCGGACACAGCTCAATGTTTTCCCTATCGCCCCAGGGCTCTCGATCACTAACAAACTGCGGAGTACCAGGATGCGTACGAGCAGACAAGCTTAAAGCTTGCAGGGCTTAGGGGTTGGAGTTTGAGGGCTTAGGCTTCGAGGGTTGAGGTAGGGTTTCGGGTTTGGGTTTAGGGTGTAGGCTTTAGGGTGAGGGTTTGAGGGTTTATAGGGTGTAGGGGTCAGGAAGGATCTAGAAAGTAGCACCCCTAATTGGGGACCCTATACTAAGGGGTACTTTATAGGAACCTCTTTGAAGGATCTATTTGTTGGATCCTCCGGGGGGTCTGGGTGAGGGAATGAAGGGCAGGCTTTAGAGTTAGGGTTGGAGGTTTAGGGGTTTAGGGGTTTAGGGGTTTAGGGGTTTAGGGTTTTGGGTTTAGGGGTTTAGGGTTTAGGGGTTTAGGGGTTTAGGGGTTTAGGGGTTTAGGGTTTCGGGTTTAGGGTTTAGGGGTTTAGGGTTTAGGGGTTTGGGGTTTAGGGTGTCGGCACCGCTCTTCGCGGCGACTAGCGAGGATAGATTTTAGGATTACGGTTTAGGCTTTCGGGTTCAGAGTTTAGGGCTGTTGAGGGTTTACCTAGACTAACCGAGGCACCTTCAACAAATGAACGTTCCATATGTTTAGTTCAAATATCCCGTTTCAGGAGGTACCTTGATTACTCTAGGTTGGCTTCAGGGTTTAGTGGTTATGGTTCAACATGTGTTGGTTTTGCTTTAAGAGCGCCTGGGATTTGTTTAAAGTTGTTTTAGTTTCCACTGGCTTTCTGGAAGGACGTGGAACCCTCTCGCTGGTCGAGCAGGTTCCTGCCATGTAACTTGTTCCAGAACACTAGCATAATTAGTCCTCTGGCTTCAAGCCTTTCGTCCTCAAGCCATAGCCCTCTTCTTGAACACCCAATTTAGTTCAATCCTTTCACTCTCTCTCTCTTTCAGTGGCCAGGCCCCAGAAATCTCAAACCATTTCCTAAAGCAGATGTAAATTCCAAAAAAAATTAAAAGTCTCCTGGTGGCACGGTTAGATTAATCCCCCTACGCCCACAGCCTTTACACCTCCTCGCGAAAAGCAGCCATGTCGTCGACGGAGGGCAGAAAGCTCCTCAAGAAGATCTCCCAGGCAAAGAAGTTGCAACAGCGCCAGCAGGACGGCGAGTTGCCCCTCGGGCTTTGGTTTGGGATATCGGCCAGATAATGATCTGGCCTACTTGTCTTGGAGACATAGAGTCTCTACACACTGCAATGGCAGCAGTCAGGCGTTTGTGCCCAAGGCGACAGGTGCCTGGAAAGAAAGCCAACGCTTGGCACCGTCGTCTTCGTAGTCTTCGACTAGCTGCACTGCAGACCTTCGCTAGCCGCAAGCCTGGCCTCGGTGGGTGGGACCCCTGACATCGTGGGCTGAAGATAAGGCTTGCGGGGTGCATCAGTCGGTTTAGGGTTTAGGGGGCTCAACTGGCTTTCGGATGCCTGATCGCGGCGGTCTGGGACCGAACTCGGATAACCGAGCAGGCGGAAGAATGCGCTTAGCACGAAAACAGCTTAAGTTCAGCTATCGTTACTCTCATGTTGGTAACCCTGAACCCTAAACCCCTATAAGCCCTATAAGCCCTATAAGCCCTAAACCCCTAAACCCTAAACCCCCAAACCCCTAAACCCCTAAACCTCTAAACCCTAAACCCTAAACCCCTAAACCCCTATAAACCCGAAACCCCTAAACCCCTAAAACCTAAACCAAAGAGCGCGTTTAGAGCTCTCAGGGCCACCTGCAGCTCCCTCACACGTTATGTTCCTCTTGGGTCTCCCCCGTGGGTTGAACTGTATTGGGGTTTAGGGGGTTAGGGATTCGGGTTCAGGGGTTTAGGGTTTAGGGTTATAGTAGAGTAGGTAACCTTTAACCTTTCTTTGGGTAGTATTTTCCCTACATAATCCCCATATAACCAAAAAGGTTAACCTTCAGTTCCTCATGATACCCGACAAGTAGGGTATTGTATTGAAAGCCCTAAACCCTACCTGGACCCTGAAGAACCTAGCCTTTTAGGGTTCCCTAATATGAGTTCTTTATGTAAGTCCTTAAACAGGTAGGTTATTTGGGGTTAAGGTAAACCCTAAACCAAAGGCTTACTCGGGAACCTTCTAGGGTCTGAGCAATCAAAAATACTTGGGGATTCCTTAACAGGACATCTTAAGGGGTACTTTCAAGGGCTACTGTAAGGATTACTACAAGGTAGGGGTTTACTTGGGGGTTCATGGTTGGTTATATAAGTGAGGTCATAAGTATTGTGTCTTTTAAGGGGTCTCTGGATTTTCGGGTTTAGGAGTTAGGGATAAGGGTTCATGGGTAGATATCTGTTGGGTTCTAAGTAGGTAACTGTAGTTAAAACCCATTTTAGGGGACTCATCATTCCATTTACAACTACCCATGAACCCCCAAGTATATTATCCACATCTAGCCCCTGGGTTTCTATAGTAAAGTCTACCCCGAAAACCGTATATTCGTAATGCCCCCATGCTGATTAAAGCCCTCTTACAACCTTGTAGGACCCCAATAAGAACCCCGTTGGGGCCCGTCAAACTTAGCTTTACAGCCCTGCATCATTCCATCGTCCAATAAGGATGATCCTGTACGAGTCCTCCACCTGCCCACATGGCCGGCCGGATCCCTTCGTCGGGCGAGCATTTGGGCAGCAAGAGTTGCGTAAAGGATCGGGCTTTGGCGATTTGAGGGTATTCTTCGTAGCTCAGTTTAATGAACTAAACACTGCATCGAGCCTGGCTTGTTGTTCGGGAAGCTACGGGATTTTGGGTGCGCAGGATTGGAAGGTCGGCTGCAGTGATTGGTGGTTTCGGGTGGGAACCTCCGTACTGAAAGCCCAGAACCTTAAACCCTATAACTATACCCTGTCGCCTACATTGCTCAGGAGATGGCGAACATCTTCGTGCCTTGGCGGCCAGATTGAGCAGATTTCCGACCGATTGGCCCGCTGCATTTTATGTAGCACAGCCAGCAACGGCAGAAACAGCAGCAGCGACAGCAGCAGCAACAACAGCAGGAGCAAAAGCAGCAGCACACATCACCATCACTGCGAACAACATCATCAACACCAATATACTTCATGTCGACAGCAAAACAACATGATGATGATGATGATGGTCATCATCATCATCATCATTATCATAGTCATCACCAACAACAGCGACAACAAAGACACACAACGGCAATACACAGCAGCAGCCAAAACAGCAACAACAACAGCAGCACCAACAAGAACAACCACGACGACGACGACAAGATTAGCAGCAAACTTCTGCAACAGCAGCAGCAACAACAGCAGCACCACCAACAACAGCAACGACAACGACAGCAGCATCAGTAGCACCAGCATCCGCCCCCCGCCGCCGCCCACCGCCACCATCACCACCACCAACAACAACATCAACCAGAAACGCAACAACAGCAAGAGCAACACCAGCAACAACAACTAAAACACACAACATCGTCAGCACAATTATTGTCATCATCACCTTCGCCACCATTAACAGCATCATAACCACCATCAACATCACCACCACTATCATCATGAAAACAGCAGCAACATCGATAACAACAGCAGCAGCAACAATCTTTCAGGTGCACTTCAAACCTCGCGGCTGGCCCGACGCCCCGAGTCAACACCGAAAGCCTCAGGACGGAGCTGGGCCGCCCTAGTGGCTTACCCTACGGGTCCAAGTAGTCCCTATTTATGGTTGTTGCGACCTACTAAGGCCCTAAAGTCCTATAATAGGGAGTACTTGGACCCTCTGGCTTAGGGGTTCATGCGGCTTAGAGCTTACCTTGACCCTGAATAACCCATGTTTTTAGGGTTCCTGCAAATGGTTTCCTTCTATATGTGTCCTGTTAAGAGGCAGGTTCTTCGGGTTAAGGTAGTGTTCAGTAGACAGAGTTTGGTTAAGACCTCATGTGCTTCGTCAACGGAGTTGGGAGTTTGGGGCTAGGGGGTAGCGTGGGGCTGGTTAGGGATCCCGGAAGGTTGTGAATAGTGTGGTTTGAAGCTTAAGATTTGCGCAAGCTTTGGGAGTAGAGTCTGCATAAGTAAGTTTGAAGAAGAGGCTGTTGGGTCCAGGCCTTAGGAAGCAAGCGCGTTTCGGCACTACCTACACTCAACCCGAGCCTTAAATCATACATGATCTGGTCGCTCCCAAGCATTACCACAAGGGTCCAAAGAACCCAATAATTAGGTGCTCGGTTTTAGGATAGTAGTTATGTAGGTTAGGATTTTGGAGAGTATGTGATTATTAGGTACTTGGACCCTTGGGGTTACACCATGGAGGGCGAGAGTTTTGTTACAGCTGCACGTGCCCAATACAACGCTGAGCGTGCTCGTAGAATGTGTACGCATACTGTATACTGTGTCTGCTTGTCTATCTGTCCATATGTATGCATGTCTGCATGTGTGTATGTGTGTACTAGCCCAAACCCCAAATCCAAAATCGTAGACTCCAACAGAGACGAAACACTGAGTCCACAACGCTTCATCCTAGACCGCCCAAAAGCTAAGCCGGGCTAAGGCCTAAAACCTTCTTCTGCAGGTTGTCTTTAGACGAATTTCTTGCACAGGAATATCCCCGTCAGCAGAATAAGTGGTTCCTCCATAGACTTTGGGGTGTCAGGAGTGTGGCAGCGGCCTAGCCGGTCAGGAAGGTTCGTGCAGCTACTCCTGACGCAAGAAAAAGCCCGTCCGTGTTTCTGGGTTCAGGGTATCGGGCTTGCGGGTTAGGCATTTACGCCAGGACCCTCCTTGTACCCTCAAATAGTGGTATATGGTCCCAAATAAGGGGCATTTAGGGTCTAATAGAGGGTAGATGGAGGGTCGAGGCGGTCTGTGGTTTTGGGGCTTTGGGATTTGGCGCCTGGCGTCGTAATGCAGCATACAGAGTGACGGCACTGGTCTTCCTGCGCAAGATTTGAAACCACACAAGCCTCAAGCGTAAGCCCATAAAGCCACCCTGCAAAGTCAGCAAAACTCAACAAAACCCTTAAAAAAGGCCCTGACACCAGGAAGTCAACCGCTACAGAAGCCTACGTACACTCAATCTTTAAAACATTTCTTCAATGAAATCCTAAACCCTACCTTAACCTACCAAAACCTACTTTCGTTCAGGGTGCCTATAAATTCCACATTAGGATTTAACCCTAATAGTAAGAACCCACAACAAAGTAGGTTTAGGTAGGTTTAGGTAGGCTAAGGTAAACCCTAAATCCCAGCCCTCTTCGACGTCGAAGCCTTGGCTCAGCCAGGAGGCCATGGCAAGCGTAGTCGAAGATGCAGAAAAAGGGCTCAGCGCTTCCATGAAAGAAACGGTTCTTGTTACAGTAAGGGCTACTTTATGGATCAGGGTTTGGGATTTCGAGAGTGTTTTAGAACAGTTGAAAGAAGTACTGTGCACTACAGATATGCATGCAGCTGCAAATCCGAAAACCCTGAGCTCCAACATGCCCAAAGCCACAAAGTTTGAGCATTCAGATCTGCAACAGCAGCACAAATACAGCTGTCAGTAGCCCATCGTTTGCGTCGCCATGTTGCGTCTTGTGTTCGCGTTATGTGCCCCCTGGCATCGGGTCTAGTTAGGAGTTGGGAAGGGCTTGAAGCCGGAGTTCCCAGACCTTCCAAAATCCCTTAATTAAGGAATATACCTTAAATTATAATAGGATCCCTAATATGATTTATGGTATATTCCTTAATTAAGGGATTTTGGAAGGTCTGGGTTAGCCTCTCTGGGCTGGTTCACTTGGATTGTCTTCGGATGGAGATGGAGGATTGCTCTGCGTGGATTAGAATTTGGCTGTTCCTTTTCATTTTTGTATCAGTACCGAGGGAGGGGTTTTCGCACTGGAGCCTATAGAAGACGCTAAATTCAAAGCAGAAGCTCCAGGAAAGTACCTTCGGTTCACCGACACCAAACTCAAGATGTTCGTTCACTCCTCCAGGGTTCCGCGGCTACTCAAAACCTGAACCCTAAACGCATTCTCTTTTGTAGAGAGCTGTTCGAGTGTACATGAATGGAGTTGTGATCCAAGTTTTATCCAAGGACACCTCTCCAACCAGTTCTGAAAGTTGCACAGGTTGCTCTGAGGGCTGAGAGATTTCAGGACTTTCTGCATTTTTCAGAGTTCAGTTGCATAAGAAAAGAAGCCCTACCAAGTGCATCGTTGAGCTCTGTTAGGATGGTTTACACTCCCTGAGCCTTGCAACTGCAATCGCTGCAGAGGTATAATACCTCCCTACTACCCCTATGGTCTGAGTAGCTAAGAGTCATATACTCTCCAAACACGGTTTAGGGTTTAGGGTTTACTAGTTACTAGTAACCTAACAGCATTACTTTACTATCACTGTTCGCAACTTAAACACCCGATTACTGGGTTTTAGCTTTTCCTTCCAACGTGGAGCAGCATGACTGGCACCAGCCGCATGCAAGCTTTGCACAGAGACCTGCAGAAAGTGACCCTGACCACAGTCTCAGCAACATTTGCTTGCTGGGCTTATCAAACATGGTTCCCGGTCCCGGAACCTCTCCAGCATCCATAGACCCATAGACTTATTCAATTGGCTGCATGTTGTTTGCCTTTGCTGCGGAGCTGAGTCTTTGCACGGAAGTCAGACCGAGAGGGCGGTCTGATCGCCGCCGTGCCAGTGTTGCCAGAATTCCCCGGACCGATCTTGGCAACAACATGAAACGGCTGCGTGTGGCAGCACGGTAGCTGGTCTTGACCCTAAACCCCTAAACCCCCTAATTAACCCACCCTAAACCCTAAACCCTAACCCCCAAACCCCTGAACCCTAAACCCCTAAACCCCAAACCCCCTAACCCCTAAACCCCTAAATCCTAAGCCCCGCAGTGGCCTAGCCCCGGTCAGCGACGATGAGACCCACGGCTTGCAGTTTAACCTCCAGATGCACACCCCTGCAGGCCCTTGTTCAGGCCCATGACTACCACCATGGGCTATTAGACCTTATGGGTACCTTAATCTACCCTTAATAGGGTCCTAATAGGGATCTTTAGGGTCTAATAGCCCATACTACTTGAAGGCTCATGGGACTTAGGAAGTAAGGTTATAAGCAGGTTATAATTAGGTTCACAACAGTTAGGGGACTTATAACCCCAATTATAACCTACTTACTAAGTCCCATGATCCTCTAAGTAGAGGTTTGTTAGCGGCTTGAGAGCTGCACCAGACCCCATACCCAGAAACCTAAGCTCGAAAGCCTAAACTTCAGACCCGAAACCTGTATCCCACAACTCAAACACTAAAGCCCAAACCCTAAACCCCAAACCTAATTCCGAAACCATCCTAATCCACCCTAAACCCTAAACCATCCCTAAACCCAAACCTAATTTCAAAACCATCCTATCATCCAAAAATAAACCCAAAACCCTAAACTCCAAACCTAACCTAAATCCTATAATCCATCCTAAACCCAAAACCCTAAACCCAAAACTCCTCTTGGAGCCCCCTTAGGCCGCACGCGCGCTCGCGGAATACTGTCCACCGCCCTCCGCGGAGACCTGGATGGAGGAGATGTGGCCTTGGCGCCTCGGCTGGCCCTTTAAGGGTTTCGGGCTTTAGGGGTTTGGGTTTAGGGGTTTATGGGGTTAGGGGTTTAGGGCTTTGGGTTTAGGGGTTTGGGGTTTAGGGACTTGGGTTTTAGGGGTTTAGGGATTTTGGGATTAAGGGTTTTAGGGTCATAAGTAGGGTAATATAGTTATAACCCATCTTAAGGGAAGTGGGGTCATAAGTACTTGGCATTCTTCTGGTTGGCTCTTTAGACTCTAACTTTTGGGGTTTCTATATGAACTATAATCAGGAGGCGGAAAGTTTAATTTTTTGGAGGGGTTCAGAAGTCAGCCAAGAGTAGAGTAAATATATTTATAACCCATCTTAAGGGACTTCTAAGCCCAATTATAACTACCCATGAACCTCCAAGTAGTGTATTAGGGTTTAGGGGTGTGGGGTTTAGGGGTTAGGGGTAGGGGGTTTAGCGGTTTGGGGTTTAGGGGTTAGGGGTGGGGGGCTTAGCGGTTTGGGGTTTAAGGGTTAGGAGTGGGGGGTTTAGCGGTTTGGAGTTTTAGGGGTTTGGGGTTTTAGGGTTTAGGGGTTAGGGGTTGGGGGTTTAGGGCTGTAGGGACCCAAAAAAGCACATAGACTAAGCATTTTCATAGCGGATATCCCTACCTTATTGTAAGGGGATTTATATGGGATATCCCTACCCGGATTTTTGCTTATGTGCTTTGTTGGGGCCCTGCGGCCTTTAAGGGATTAGGGTTTCAGTTTGGGGGTTTAGGGTTTTAAGGTTCAGGGTTTGATTGGGTTTTTTGGGTTTTGTGGTTTTACGCGTTTAGGGGTTCAGGGCATATGTAGGGTTTAGGGGGTTTATCAAGAGGTCTACTAGGTATCGGTTGGGGATAGCTGGTACTTCCCTCATTGTTTAGCATAGAGCTCTAATTATGAACAGTTTCGGGGACGGTTGAAATTGAAAGGGGAAAAGGATGGGCCCTTCATAAGGACCCCTAGGTATATACCCTTAATATAGCTATATTATACACGCATATATAGCCCATTATACGGTCCCAGGGGCCCCCCATTAAGGGTCCCTCCTTTTCCCCTTTGAGAAATCGACACTTACTGGGTGCTGGAGCATACTTGAATGTTGCTTGCTGGGACCTGTTCCTTAACCATAGACTCCATAATAGTTCCTTTTGGGGATTATTATAGGGTTCTGCCTCTGGGTAACCGCCATGAAACAAATTTCTCTACTTTGCTCTTCATGGTTTCTTCAAGGTACAGGTTAGGGCTTCGAGTTTAGGGAGTTTAGGGTTTAGGGAGTTCAGGGTTTAGGGGTTTCGGGGTTAAGGGGGTTTAGGGTTTAGGGTTGCCAAAGCTTTAGGGCTTACATTCTCTACGCAGGTTTTAGAGTTCTGTTTTCGTTTCCAGGTTTCCAAAAAGTTCCTATAGGGGGTCTACCAGGGTTCTGTTAGTTGGTTTGGTAGGCTATGCATGACATGCTTAAACCCTACCTTTGCCATCGGATATACAAGGGTCGCACAGTATATGAGCCTTGAAGGCTAACGTATCTTTTCGGCACCAGGCAAAACCCCTAAATGCCAAAGGGGAGTTTCCGAAAATTTGGGTACTTCAGTTTCAACTCCTTATAATAAGGATCTGACTTCTTAGGGTGCTCTCTTCGGGTCCCCCTTTTTTGGAAACTCCCAAATCGTCAACCCTACATCCTCGCCCTCTTCGCCACGGCTGAGGATCAAGGATCGACAAATCGTGGGCAGCTCGTCTGGAACTCTTAAGATTATACTATAGACGCCTAGATGAGTACTTATATTGGTCCTTAGGGTTCCTTATCATCATCAGACTAGAAATTAGCCCCAAAGCCTATTCTGATTATTAAGGCCCCTATCGTATCGTACTCTTGGGGAGGGTCAGAGAGCCCGATCGGGATTTGATGGATTAGGATTTACATTAACCCGGAATAACCGACCCTTTTAAGGACTTATACAAGGAAATTTCAAGGAAATCATAGTAAGGAACTCCAAAAAGGTAGGTTATTCAGGGTTGAGGTAGGGTTCAGAGTGTTTAGGATTTCGGTGATGTTGGGGTTTAGTACAGTGAAGGAGTTTACAGTGGTTCCGCGTTTCCCAGATATACCCACCTCTCCTGGGTACAAGACTTACCTTTGGTTAGAAGGGAATGGAGGAATGGTAGTAATAGCACTTAACATTGTACCCCATTCCTCCATTCCCTACTAACCGCCCTAAACCCTAAACCCTAAACCCTAAACCAGAGGCAAAGTTAAGAAGAGCTGACCGAGACTCGAGGGTCCCTTCATCAACCCATTTTTTGAGGCTCTGCAAGAAATTCGTGGGGGTTGCTTAAGGTTTGCTAGAACGGTTCTATGTGTGTATATGCATATGCTTATCTAAGGTTTCGTTAGCCAACGCGGACTTCTAGTGTTCCTGTCGCAGTTACTATGAGGGCCGTCAGGACATGGCCGTGAGGTTTAGGGTTTTAGGGTCGGGAGTTCCGGGATTTGGCATTCTACTCTTCTAGAATGTAGCCCGTTTGCAGAAGCTTAAAATGAGAACTGGAGATAACCCGACGGGTAGACGCTTTTGCAAACACCGGACCGTAAAGTCACAAAGCCTACATCCCACCAAACCGCGGCATCCTAAAGCCTACCTAGAGTTGCCAAGGTGCCTTCACAAAAACGGGTGTGGTGTGACCCCAAAAACAGCGATGCACTTATTGCGCTTAAGGTGCCCTGGTTACTCTAGGTACCTTTTCCCAAGGGTCCAAGTACCTCATAATCATATACTCTCCAAAATCCTAACCTACATACCGAGTACCTGATTATTGGGTCCTTTGGACCCTTGGGATTAACCGGAGGTCTCATGCTGCCCGGAAGCCACAACTCGGGAGCTGTCAAATCCATGAGCCTTCGGCTGTATCTCTATTTCGGGCCTGGGGTTCAAGGTTTACGGGGCTTATATAGGGCTTAGGGTTTAGGGCTACTACTTTAAGAAGATTCGAGAAAGACTACAAGTGGTTTTCGTAAGCATGACAATCCAGGGTTGAGGGGTTCAGGGTACTTTGTTTAGGATAAAGGGCTTAGGATTTTTTGCGATCCGGGATCTTCTTTTCGAAATGAAATTTTTTGGGGACTCAGAGTGTAGGCTTGGTCCCATTGGTCCCACCCCAGGAATACCACTGTTTAGGGTTATTCGGGAACATTTAGACAACAGGGGGTTTAGGGTGTAGGGTTCTTAAGGGGCGGCTCAGCACAAAAGGTTTCGGGCTTGGCTGTTTCCCCAAAGAAAAGGAAAGTTCTGACGATTCTGGGGCTTCAACAACTGAGGAGTTTTGTGTTTGGGGTTTTGGTTTCACGGCTTCAGGTTCTGATGTCAGGGCTGCCTGCAATGAGGACCAGAAAAAGTTGCATGGTGGGACCCCAGAACTGGCCGAAACTTGTAGGGTTTAGGGTTAAGGGTTTCTAAGTCGTAGTCGTGCGTGTCTTGTAGAGACTTTGACCCTGGCTTCTCGAGCTTTTTCTGCGGTTGCCTGATTTTGCCGGTATTAGGGTTTCGGAGTATAGGGCTTTGGGTTTTATAGGATGGCGACGATAAAGCAGATGATCCAAAGAAGAGGTGCTAGAATCCAGGGTCTCGGTAATCTTGTCGGCAGTCAGCTCAGCCAACCAAGGAGCCATCGTGGCCACTGATCCCTGGACTAAGAATTGAATCTCAGGTTTTCAGGCGTAGGGTTTGGGAATTTCGGGTGGGGTCGATTTTTTGTTCGAGTGGGGGAGTGTGTGTGCTGGGCGGTTGCAGCCGGGTTTTTCTGGGAGAGCGTTGCAGTCGTCTCGTTTTCGATGCCAGTTCACGAAGATCCGGCAAACGTATACTCTGATGCATACTGGACGTTGCAAGAGTACCACCAGGACATGAAGAGTGACAAGTACACCTGCACGAGAAGCCTAGGTCCTAGCAACGGTAATACGTCCTGAACTACGATTACAATATAACCATAACTCGAGACCATAGAGCCATGAAAGTTTTCACTGGTAGCTTTTATCAACATATCCGTTATTGAACCGCTTCAAACATGACCTAGGTAGCCGTAAGTTCAAGCCCAGAACTTGAACTAAGTATTGTCGTTGAACACATGTAAAAATGTTGAACCCATTGAAGTAAAACAACTTGTAAAATCTCCAGAGCTGTAGTTCAACACCCTAGATCTACAACAGCAAATTCTATACCATAACCGCCAAACCCTTAAACCCTCGACCGTACGCCCAAACCCCACATCGGTGAAACCTCGACGGTTAAGACCCCAGATTCAGTAGCTCCTATGCTTGATGCCTGCATACTACGACTGATGATATACATCCTGCACTACCCAGAACAAGGAATACACCGTAATTCCCATATTCTAGGGTCCTTGAACTAATGCAGGATTTGTATCATCAACAGCAGTGTAGTATCGTTATAGCCCTTATTGTGCTGGGTGCCCATCATGGTTTTACATGAAGGTTTGGGGCTTGTGTTGGCGTTTTGGCTTCCGGCGTCCACATTGCCCGGCTTGGCTGAGGTGGTGCGATTTATGGCAAGTTCAAGAGTGACATCAAGGCGGGCGGCGGGGTCGGGGGGTGTGTGGAAGGGGGAGGGCGGGGCGGATGAGTTGCGTGTCATGGTGCGTTTCGTCATGTCTTATTGTGTTCCGGTATGTGTATGTATGTGATATACTGTACTTTCCCATTCAATGCAAGCTATGCTTTTTATATATAATGTACATACACAGATATGTGTACACATGTAGGTATAATATATCTGGATTTACTATACTTACATATACGCATGCACATGCATAATCATACATACATACACTCATTCATACATACAGTAGAAGCCAGAAAGTTGGAATATCATTATCGTAACCCCTTTAAGGTAAATTATAGGGGATCCTACCATTAATCCATATTCCAACTTTCTGGAGTTCCCTTAACCCTAAACCCTAAACCCTAAAAAACAAACAAATAAAGCGCAGGCAGCCGTGGGCCCCTTCCTTGAGTCGCTCGTGACGGACACTATGCTCCTTGAGTGAAGATGTTGCTTTCAGGACTTTCCGGTGTAGGTGCTTAGGGTTTAGGGTGTGACTTGGGGTTTAGGGGTTTGGGATGCAGGGCTTTCTTCTTACATTATTCAAATCAGAGTATCTTCGAACTGTGCTTTTTGTGGCTGTTGCTTTTGTTGTTGCGGTTCGTGTTGTGGTGTTATTGTTGTTGCTTCTGTTTGCTGCTACTTCATGTCATGTGCTGTTGATTTTAACTGTGGTCGTGGTATCTCTTAAAAGCATCTGGAAAAGTTCCATTATCTAGAGTGTTGTGCTTCCCTTCTAAGGCGAGCAGATTTCAGGGTTTCCACAGTACTGAAGTCCAATGTTTAAGCTTTGCAGTTTTCACGAATGTGGGAGTTTCCGAAAATTTATTATGAGGACCCCAAAATAAGGTACCGCTAATTTTTGGAAACTCGCATGTGGGTTCCAGGTTTGAGGAATCGGATTTTCGGGTTCTGGAGATTCCCTGGCGTCCGGTTGCAGGGTTGTCGGGCGTTCCTTGTGTTGTACTGGTCTTTGCGGTCTATATCTGGGCTCCCAGAATTGCTGACACGTCACTCGAAACCCCCAAACCCCCAAAGTGTCAGGAATGCAAACTCCACTCACTATGGGAATAGGCAGGGTTCAGAGTTCAGGGCTGTTATGGTTGGTTCATCTAAGGTTTAGGGTTTTGGCTTCGCGGAAGTTTACAAGTTTAGGTTGTTACATGGTGAGTGACGGTGAGGAATGCAGAGTCGTGAACTTGCGCTATTCATACGGTAAGTGCAGTTTGTACGTACTAACCCCAATTAAAGTACTTATGACCTTATCCACTAAGCCCCATGATGCTCGCAAGTACTATAGCATCAGATGGTCACACGCACAACTGGGACCTGCTGGGTAAGCCCGCAAGCCTAAATCAACGGGCACAAACTCCACTTAAAGCATGTTTGGCGGGCAAGACAGCAAGAAACCTAAGGACCGTATACCCTAAACCGTCAAACCTACAACCCTTTGCCATAGTTGGGTGACATTTTACATGTTTATGGGTACTTAAACCCAATAAGGAATGATAAATTGAATTCTTAATCCTATCCCGACCATGAACTAGAACCGAAACCTGGGCCCTGAACCCTGCTCTCTCCTGGTGAGGCTGCAAACCTATTATCAGCCATGGAATGTCAACCAGCACTTGGGCATCTACGACCAACTGACCAAGGAGGGAGTGCGCTTCTTTCACCTGACACTTCTCTGCACTTTCGGACCAGGCTTGCTCTCCAACTAGGTGAGGGTCTGCATTAAGCCCTATACCACTATGGGCTATTAGACCCTAAAGATCCCTACTAGGACCCTATTAAGGGTAGATCAAGGTACCCATAAGGTCTAATAGCCCATAGTGGTAGACTCTATAGACACTATAAGCCCTAAACCCTAAGCCATGAGCCTGCGAGTTTGTTTACGGTTTCCTTCTTGCTAGCAAATCCTTCCTCGCGTGAGGGGCCTCGCAGGTTGGGAGAACTGTTGCACTGCAAGCCCTAAACCCCTAAACCCTAAAACGAGGTAACAGCGCCTGGTACGTGACCGGCGTTTTGTGGCGTAGCTGAAACAGGCAATGTGCTAAAACCAAGGGAAAACGTGTATTATGACTTAAAAGTTGTGCTAGGAAAGGCGGAGAATCCCTGTGACAGGTCGATCGTTTTAGCGAAAAAGGTGATGGCGCTGCAGTAAAAGCCACTTTTGCGAGCACCGCGCTGCGCAAACTTGGTCTGAGTGGACGTTAATATGGTTGACCCGTGGATGCTCTGCGTCAATGAGATCTGGTCTGAGTGGACGTTAACATGGTTGACCTATGGATGCTCTGCGTCAATAACATGGACCACCCATGGATGGTTTGGGCGACGTGGGTTGTAGCAAGTGCCGAACACACCGGAATTACCGGTGTGTTCGGCATATGACCCTAAGGAAACATGGCTTCGATCAGAACTAGAGCTTGTGCCTGCCTGCGACAAAAGTCCGCAGTTCTGGGACTTAAGGTCGGGACTGGCCAAAATTAGCCCCCCCCCCCCCCCCCCCCCCCCCCCCCACCCCCCCCCCACCCCCCCCACCCCAGAAAAGTGAGAGGACGTACAGGACGCACACCAGGCGTTGTCACCTTAAACGACAACATAAAACTTCAACGGCTTTGAACCCAGGAAGTTCTGCAACTTCGTGAACGAGAACGACAAGATGGGACCCTTTGACTTGCACCACCTCTACCACTCCCACGGAGGCAGATGTGTTTCAGTACAGCGGTCGGAAAACTGGATTGAACAGGCCTTGCAAGCAACTCTTCCGTGAGCTAATCCCGAAACTTTAAACCCTCAACCTTGAACCCCAAGCCCTGAACCCCAAACTCCAAAACCTTATGCCTGCACCCTGACCCCAAAAGAAACCTTGGAAGGCTACACCTCGATGAGCCTTGCTTCGATCTTCGAAGACATCCTGCGATTTCTCGACGAGTGTTCCGCTTAAAGAAGAAGAGGTTCAACAATGCTATATGTATAATATTATGTATATATATATATGTATGATATGTATATTATGTTCTTTTTACATGCATATTATGCATGTGTATGTGTGTTACGTATAGTATGCGTATATTGAAGATGTGCTTGTTCAAAAAGGTTATTACATGCCTCAGGTGCCTTCAGGATTACGCGCAGTGTCTTGTGGCTTCAGCCGACGGTTGCTTGAATCCTCGGACACTTCGGTTTTATGTTGCCAAACTACTTACCGGCATCTTTGACCTTTCGAGCCGAAAGCCCCTAAACCCCTAAAGCCCTAAAGCCCTAAACCCTAAGCCTTAAGCCCTAAACCCCTAAACCCCTAAAGCCCTATAGACCCTAAACCCTAAAGCCCTAAAGCCCTAGACCCTAAGCCTTAGACCCAACACCCCAAGCTGTCTTCCGAGGCATCCCGTCGAGTTCGTGGCCCCCTGACTGCAGCAGCAGACTTCCACCTGTGTACCCAAAGTTGGGGAGGATCCAACCAGTAGCTTCCTTAATGGGGGCTCCTTTAGGGGGTCCTTTAAGGGTGCCTTTAAGGGATCTATAGGGAGCGGACTTCGACCTGCGTAGTGGAATGGTGGTTTTGGACACCCTGAGCCGAAAATCCTAAGCCCCCGAAGCATAAACACGAAACTGGTAAGGTATCATCCCTAAAGCCTAAACCCCTAAGCTATAAACACTAAGATGGTAAAGTATCATCCCTAAAGCCTAAACCCCTAAGCCATAAACACTAAAGTGGCAATGTATCATCCGTAAATCCTAAACCTCCTAAGCTATAAACACAAAACTGGTGAGGCATCATCCGTAAATCCTAAACCCCCCAAGCTATAAACAGCAAGGTATCATCCTTGAATCCTAAACACCCTAAGCCATAAACACTAAACTGGTGAGGCATCATCCCTATGCTTTAGGGTTTCGAGTGTCGCTTGGGGGGTGATGCTGTATGGCTTGGGGATCCGAGGCTTCCGGGTAGTGCTTGTTCTAGATGCGGTGAGCTTAGGTTAGGGTAGGGTTTAGGGCTTAGAAGTTTAGGGTGTAGGGTTTAGGCTTCGAGTTTAAGTTAGGGTAGGGTTTAGGGCTTAGAAGTTTAGGGATTAGGGTTGAGGGATGAGGGTTTAGGCTTCTTGTTACAGTAATTATTAGAAATCTTAGAAGGGTTGGCAGAAGGCTTTTTATGGGACTTATCATTCGACATGTAACCCCAGGAAGACAGCAGACACAACAAGAGACAACAACACCCGAAACCCCAAACCCTTCAATCGTAACCCTTTCAACTCCAAGCCCCCGCACCGTACAACCCCCCCAAAACCCCGAACAACTCAATCTTCACTTGAGGTGGTGGGACTCAACAACTTCTGGGAGATTGACAACGCACCTGAGCACCTCGCTCCCATTTAGATATATCACGAACCATTGGTTTAGTGTGTAATCTAGCTGCCGCAAGTTCATGTTGAGAATAACTCGTGTTTTGCGGTACTATAGACAACCATGTTGAAGAAGCTATTGTTCTCAGCCCCACCTCGGCAGCTCTTGAATCCGCGACACCAAAGAACTCCTTCGCGGCAAGATTGCGGCAGTGCAAATCGCCATGGCCAGGAGCGTATTGACCTCTCAGGGCTGCACGGCTGTTCTGTCTGCGGAACCAACACCAAGGGCACAACGAGCAGAGTCTGGATCAGAAGTGCATCTCAAAAAATCCACGATTGGGGGTGGCGTTGCCTGAACATCGTATTCTACCCGGGCAGAGGTCAGATCAGTGGCGTGCCAGCAACTGCACGTGGGTTCGCTACAAGCGCAAACTGGACAGTGGACGGCGGAACTGATCCTTCGACATCCGTCCTCGTCGTCCAAAGATGATGTCCAGGACGGAAAGGATATCAGGGCTCGTGTGCTGCAATTGGTGTCTCAAGATTTGTGATGTATAATCGCATGACTCCATGACTTGTACATACAGTGTCAGGGGCTTAGTAGGTTTTAAGTAGGCTTCAACTTCTAAAGTGCCCTGCAGTCCCAAAAGGCTATCGCCACGCACATGCACACTAACACGGAGACAACATCTCGCCAAAGAGACCATCATCAAACGAATCCGCAAGTTCCGCAAGCGGAGCTTCGGCTCCAAACCCGAAGCCTCGAACCCTAATGAGACCCTCACTAAGCCCCCAACCTTCAGGATTTCTCAGTTTGTTGTTCGGGGTTAGGGTTAGGGGCTGTGGGTTAGGGGTTGTGAGTTTAGGGGTGTATAGGTTTAGGGGTTGACGCAAAGGGGCTCGGGGTGTAGGGATTAAGGATTTAAGCGTTGGGGGTTCAGGAGTTTAGGGGTGGATTTGAGGCTAGAGTTTGAGGTGGGCTTTTCGGTGCGAAACCTAGCAATCCCGGAACACACCCTGGCAGCTTGTGAAGGTGACTCCAGAATTTGAAGTAGTTCAACCAGCAGATCAAGCCAAAGCCCAAAAACCCTGAAGCCTACATTCAGGCTTGCGGCATCCGTCGCCAGACATCTCAACTCCACGAACGTGTCCTTGGTCAGGACTCAGGCCGCGGGATCTGAAACATGTTAAGGATCTTCACGCCGAGACCGAACCTTTAAGCCCAGAAATCCACACCAGCTCTATTCATAGGAGGCCAAAAGGGGTTTTAGCTTATGGGGGTTAAGTAGGGATTAGGGCTCCCATAATAGGGCTCATATTAAGGAATCCCTACCCCAAGAATCTTAAACCCCCCCTTTTGTCCTCCCATCACAGAAATCCACACCAGCTCCCAAGCTCTATTTCTGTCATCTGGGATCTGTGACTCCATCCAACAAGGCCAGCTAGGGTTTAGGGTTTAGGGTGTAGATCCGCAAGGGGTGACAAGGCCAGAGACACCTACCTAGATTTGGAATACCAAACTTGAACACTTTTCCTGGTACCTGTTCCTTACAGGAACCATTATGAAATGAAAGTCTATACTTTTTGCACCCTGGTTACTTCAAAGTCCAGCCTAAGACAGAGCTGCCCAATAGAAGTGGACGGCATAGTCAAGCTTGGCGACTTGGTAACATTTCGCTCCGGTGGTCAGCGAGAGGGCCGACCAAAATCAACGAATCTTCTGATACACAGTTTCCTATAAAATCCCAAACCATATAAACCCTAAACCCATATAAGCCGTGCCAAGTCGCCTGGCAGGATTGGTCCAACTCTCTGGCGGACCTCGCAGAGGAGAACAGGCAGAGAATCAACAGGGCTGAGGATTTGACCTTTGAAGCTAATTTGGGAATATGCTAAACCCCTCAACCTTTTGGAACCCCTAAACCCTCGACCCGTAAAGCGCCAAACCACAAACCCCCAAAGCCTCAACCCCTAAACCCCTACCAGCACTCCCCAACTACCTCTTACTAGAGCTTCTGTACCCACTATTCAGGAGCATAAGGTCTATATTCAGAACCATCAACCCCCTAAAGCTTCAATCCTAAACCCCAACTACCTCTTACCAGAGCGCATGTATGTACCCACGATTGAAGACCAAAGGTCTTTATTCTCATTCCTAAACCCCAACTTTCTCTTACTAGAGCTTCTGTACCCACGATATAAGGTCTCTAGAAAAGGGTACTAAGGGGCTTTCTCTAAAGGGATCTATAAGGGCTCCTTCAAGGGTCTTTTCAAGGAATCTATAGGGTGTCTAATATCCCTCAATTAAGGAATATACCTTAAGTCATAGTAGGATCCCTAATCATCATTTAAGGTATGTTCCTTAATTCCCTTATAGAACCCTTATAGATCCCTTCAAGGAGCAATTTAAGGGGAAGCCTGAGGTCTATTCCTTAATTACCCAGAGGGCCCACATACACCACCATTATGGAGTGAGGTCCCAAAAGACCATCTTTAAGATGGCTTTGGGGACCTAATTCCACAATGGTAGTGTATAAGGACCCTCTGGGTTAAGGGATTTCGGAGTCTTTGGCTTCAGTGCTCCCGCTCGGAAGAGGCGCCTGGTCATCTTCGTCCCCGAGTCGCAAACTGAGGGCATTCTCCCTTCTGTGGCATGGCATGGCTTTAGGGTTTAGCATTTTTTGAAGGTTTAGGGTTTAGGGTTTATGGCATGAGGCTTCATCAGGTAAGGCTTAGTTTGTAGGGCTTGGGTCGGCAGATTTGTGTAACCGGCAGGATCTATGTTGGTGTTTAGGGGTGCTCAAGCTTTTCTGATGTTTTAAAGTAGGCTTTTATCAATTCGGGAGCTTGATCGTGTAGTGGTTCCAAGATGGGATGAAGGCTGATAAAGGTTTGCCTGACAGCTCCAAGTAACTACACCGCGCTCATGGGTATAGAGATGTGGCATAATGAATAATGAGTGGCAGCAGCAATACCCGCAGCATCAGCCAGAGAGACGTTGCTTCTCTGATTGTGATAGCGATCATGATGGTGATGATGATGATGGTGATGGTGATGGTGATGGTGATGGTGAAGAAGAAGATGATGACCATGATGACGATGATCGTGAGGATGACGATGATGGTGAAGATGTTGTTACAATGATCTCTATGTGCCAGATTGAGAGCACAATGGGAGTTTCCGAGAATGGTGCCTTATTTTGGGGTTCTTCTGATAAGGAGCCTACTATTTAGGGTATGATATTAGGGTTCCCTAGTTTTGGAAGCTCCGAAATGGTCGGGATGGTAGTTGGAGGTGTTGTGAAGCTGTCGAAAGTGTTCGATCCTGTGGTTGGAGGGGTGTTTCGAGATTTCTTCTGTAGCCAGGAAGTTTCATAATGTTTCATATGTGTATATATATATATATATATATTTGCATACATATATTTATTTATTTATTCTATTTATTTACTTATGTATTTACACTCTGTCCTGGAACTTGTCCAGCAGTCCTTTTTATCTCAACATTGCTCGAAAGCGTTTCTGTAGTTTTAATGCTTCGTGGCCAATCCCTACGCCTGAAGGAATAGGGTATAGAAGCGCACTCAGGAACAATACCTGATTGAGAATTGGGACCACGACGAGATGGGGCGACTTGCCGGCAGTTGAGCCCCGTCCAAGAACTCTTCGCCATTTCAATTTACTGCTACTCCTGCTGACTGCTGCCCCTGCTTCGGCCGCCGCCGCCACGACGACGACGACTACTGCTACTGCTACTACTACTACTACTACTGCTACTACTACTGCTGCTACTAAGCTGCTACTAGACTACTACTACCTACTAGTACTAGTACTGTGCTCAGTGCTGCCTGCTGCCTACTACCTGCTACCTACTACCTACTACCTACCACCTACCACCCACGATCTACTACCTACTACCTACTACCTACTACTTCTACGTCTACTTGTGCTACTGCTACTACTACTACTACTACTACTACTACTACTACTACTACTACTACTACTAGCCCGGTGCCCCGCGGTGGGCCCACTTTTTAAGAAAAATAGGAATGTACGGTGCTTGTTGCAAGTGCTGAAAGTATCGGCCAGGCCGTATGTTTCCAGACTTCAGTGCACTGCGGAATGGAGCTGCTAACCCTGTTTTGGGGGACCAGCTCGGGTCTCCGAAACGGTGATTTTGGGCTTAAAACTGGCATTTTGAACTACGCCGATGACGCGTTTTTTCTTCACCCCTCCTGCGTGTCGCTATGGCGCATGACGTCTCCGATCATACGCCACAGGTCTTGCGAGTGATTCCAGTGCTTCCACTGGAACTCACGGACCCGAATGACCCGAAGCTCAACGGCTTTTTTGCGCTGAGCAGAAACCCCATGGAGACTTTTTTCATCCACGCCCACAGACCGTCCAGACCACAAGTACCGGCAAGCCCCTGCTTCACACCCTTTGAGGGTAGCTTGTGCTTGCAGAACTTTGTTCACTGAGGTCCTGTGTTCTTCTGAGGCCTCGAATGGTTCACGGAATCCATCTTGGCCACAGCAAGAAAAGGACTCATGGTTGCGACAATGCATGCAGTGTTCAAGACTCATGCCGTGCAGTGTTGAAGACTCATGCCGAACAGGACGTCATCAAGCACCCCCCCTCCCACCCCCGCCCGAGTCGATCGGAAATTTGCAGTGTTCAAGAATCATGCCAAACAGGACGTCATTAAGCCCCCCCACCCCCCCCCACCCCCCCTTCGAGTCGATCGGAAATGTGCGTGACAACATCCAACATCATCTTCGTCATCATCCTCAGCATTTCATAGTGATGATTAATTGCGGCTTGAAACATGCACGGGAGGTGGGTCCAGGAAGGGGCACCGGCCTACTACTACTACTACTACTATGCCGACACTACTTTTCTGAACTCTTCTGCTGCCAATACAGGACACTCTTAATGCTTATTGGTTGTAAACTCAAGCTTTCAAGTTTTGGGGTTCTTATAAGGTAGTCGATTCTGAAAGTTTCAAGTTTTATTCTCTTGGGGTTTTGGGCCAGTGAGAATGTGGTGGCAGGAGCGACGACTTCGACCGGGTGAAGCGGTATCTGATCCAGGCAGCAATGATGTGATGTTGTTCCTAGGTCCTGGAGACTCCCTTTGTATTTGAAGGTGCATTTGCTTATTTAAGTGGATCTTGCATGCGGTAAGCTTCAAGAAGCTGGAACATGTGTGGAAGATGATTCGTGTTAGTTCTAGCTGTAGACACATGTTGTGATGATGTTTCAACTTCCTGGCTGTTGGTTCTGGACCAAGTATTTAGGGGGTTTAGTGGCAAAAAACGTTTCGGGGTTCGGCTTGTCGGTTCTGGTGGGGGCTGATGGTTTCGGGGTCAGGGTTATAGTTATGATATGTTTGAATAGTCACAATGAGACTCCTGGCAGCGAGAGACACTGATGATGAGGTTCATGACCATGATGATTTGACTAAGGCTTAACGTTTAGAGTTGAGATCATGATGATTGTGGTCGTTACAACGCCATTCATGTGTCGCATTGACCTCAAGGGCTTAGGGTCTGGCTTGACGACCGGACAGTATCTTTGGAAAGTTCGAAGTAGTGCTGCTAGCTATGACGAGGCAGTCGTTCTGCCAACTCCGGTCCCGACACAGCCTCAACCGTGTTCTTCGTACATGGGTGGTTGTCAAAATTAGGGTCCCTTTTCTGTTCCCTAATATAATTCGGCACCCATCATTGAGGGAACTTGATTTTGACAACTACCCACATCGACGCGCACATCGCTTCTTTGCGGGAGAGGGTTGCTCAGGAGGAGCAACGAGAAGTTCTCATGCTCGCGCTCTGCTCTTCCAAAACTGGCCAGTTGTTTTTTGTCTGTTGTCCTATGCTGCACTCCCACAGGACCCTGACGTCCCAGTTTGCGGATGCAGTAGAGCGAGGTTCGGTCACGCATGAGAACTTGGTCCTGGCGAGCCAAGTGAGAGTTGCACGGCGATGCTGTCGTCTCCTCTCTCCTGAGCAAGCAGGAGCGTGCGGCACGAAGTGTTTTCCACAACAGCAGCAAGCTGGTGGATGCGGAGACGCTGGCTGGGCTCACGTACAGCTTTGGGCAAGGGCAAGCCTGCCTGGGCCCTACTCTCCTATTTCGGCGCGGTGCTGACGCCTGCGTCCATCAACTTCGATATCCCGGCCATGCCTTTCTTCTATCTCACAAGTCCGCGGACACCTTGACGAGGCCCTACCCATAGGCTCCATAGTAGTTCCTTTTCGGCACTACCTTATAGGGTTCTAAATATTAACCCCAAAAAGGAACTACTTTGTAGGTAATGAGAAAGACAAAGACGCGCACTATGCATGTTGTGCGATGCCCGAAGCCGTCTTTGACACCCGGGGCCGCGGCATGCACGTCCCTAAACCACTTGAAGTTGACTGTAGTTTGAACGGTTTAGGGTTTAGGGTTTAGGGAGCCACTTCGCAGACCTACGACATCCTACGACTCTGCGGCTGGCATTCCAACTACACAAAACCCCGACTCCAGGTTGTAGGGCATTGGGTTTAGGGGGAGTGAGGCCACTTGCTTTCCCGGATTAAGAGGCGCGATACAATATTGATACGGTACCCGGAATCCTATTCTCAATATGAAGGTGTTCACCCAGCAAAAAGCCCAACCACATAGAACTCTTTACACCCAGTGTCGTCATGCTGCAATGGCAAGAGATAAAGCATCGTGTTTCTGGTTTCCAAGGTTTGGGGGTTTATAGTAAGCGATTCGATCCCTTCACAATCGAGCGATAGCCCAACACCCTGATCCCTTAAATCGCATCGAAACAGGGTGCCCCCAGGCCCTAAACCCTGAGCCCCGAAATCAAATCGAGAACGAGATACCCCATAGCCCGCAAACCCAAAATCCCTAAACCCTATAAACCCTAAACCCCTAAACCCTATAAACCCTAAATCCCTAAACCCTATAAACCCTAAACCCCTAAACCCTATAAACCCTAAATCCCTAAACCCTATAAACCCTAAACCCCTAAACCCTATAAACCCTAAATCCCTAAACCCTATAAACCCCAAACCCCTAAACCTTATAAACTAAACATCTAAACCCTAAACCGCTACGTGGAGTGGTTTTTGAGCCCTCAGCCTTCAACATATGGAGGTATCCGCAAAATAGGAGACCTTTTTAGGAACCCTTATAGTAGCCTTGTAGCAACCTAAAGGAACCCTTGTAGGACCCTTATAGTAACCCTCTAAAGGAACCCTAAGGTACCACTAATGTTCGGAAACTCACATATGGGTAGTTGTCAAAATTAGGGTCCTTTTTTGGGTATCCTGAATAGTACGTGCCGTATTATATATCAGCTAATGACCCAAAAAAGGGACCCTATTTTTGACAACTACCCATATGGTGAGAGCAGGATGCCAAGACCTATGCGCAGACGCCTCGAGACAAGTTTTACGCCTTCTCAGCCCACCCGTGCGGCACCCGGAGGAGGGTTTAGGGGTTTAGGGGTTTAGGGGTTTTAGGGTTTTAGGGTTTTAAGGTTTTAGGGTTAGGGGTTTTAGGGTTTTAGGGTTTTAGGATTAAGGGTTTAGGTGTAGGGGTCTTAGGGTTTGCTCCAAATTAGAAACCTCTGAGCTGTAGAAGCCCTAGAAGCGACTTCGGTTTAGGGGGTATGGCGCAGACCTTTGACACCCAGACCTTCCAAAATCCCTTAATTAAGGAATATGCCTTAATAAATTATAATAGGCTCCCAAAATTTAAGGTATACTCCTTCATTAAGGGATTTTGGAAGGTCTGAGCAGTTTGCAGTTCCTCGCATCGGTGCTTTTAAGGGGTGGGTACCCATAGGCTCCATAGTAGTTCCTTTTTGGGGCTCATATTTAGGATCCTATAAGGTAAACCCAAAAAGGAACTACTATGGAGCCTATGGGTATAGACTCCCAACATCCTCGTCTGAACCCCTCAACCCCTAAGCTCAAAATTTGGGCCCGGCCGTCCTCGGGTAGGCCCTTTACCCCGTGCAGGCAGAAACTTAAACCCGAAACCCTAAACCCCAAACCGGAAGCCTCGACCCTGTACCTTCTACCCATAGGCTCCATAGTAGTTCCTTTTCGGCACTACCTTATAGGGTTCTAAATATGAGCCCCCAAAAAGGAACTACTTTGGAGCCTCTACGTAATTCGAAAGCCCCGAAACTCAAGAGCCTGCAGGCCTTGAAGAGCAAAATAACCAAAACGCCTTTCGCAGGACGTTGTCAGTCAGAAGGTCCATAACCGATGCCTGCCGCACATGCCTAGGCCCTAAGCCCTAAAGCCCTTACAAGCCCTGAACCCTAAACTCTAAACCCAAGTTCCGAAACTCCCGCCAGTAGGATGCTTCACCCCTAGACCGCTAACCCCAGCTTAGGGTTTAGGCTTTGGGGGTTCGGGGTTTAGGGTTTAGAATGTTGGGTTTGGGGTTTAGGGTTTAGGCTTTGGAGTTAAGGGTTCAGGGTTTAGCCTTTGGGCTTTGAAATGGGGGTTCAGGGTTTAGCTCCCCAACCCCTCAACCTCCCACCTCAACCAAACTGTCTTCTGGTACAAGGAGCCATGAGCCTATACCAATTAGTGATGATATTCCTTAGAGTTCCGAACATAGACTTTCGTTCGCTTTTGATAGGAAAGAAAATTAGAATTACAGGTATTTGTGTGATGGAGGCCTTAAATCCAATATACCCTCAAACTTCACCTTGAACCTGAATTCCCAACCTTCCAAACCTAGATAACCTAGACCCTAACTCTCAACCCTAGACCCTAGACCCTAGCCTAAACCCATCCCAAGGCGTCCAGACGTTTAGACTCTAACCTTCAACCCTGAAGCTCCGAAACCAAGCCGCACACCGAATAGTGGATTATGAGCCAGTAGAATCACAAAAATCCTTGAGGCTGCAAGTTGTTGGATCCACATGTAAGAGCTTTAACCTTACAAAACCTGAAGCTCATACATAAAATCCGATATGACTATGCTGTAACCCTGTAAAACCCAAAGAACCAATGCTTCACTGAAGCGCCCAGCAAGGTCCAAGAACATGCACAACCTATAACCCTGAGGGTTTTGGGTTTAGGGTATAGCCCACGGTTGAGGGAAGCCCTAAACCTTACATCTCCAAGAACACGGACAATCTGACGCTTGCTTAAACCCTAACGCCTAAACCCTGGATGAAGCATCCAGCAAGGTCCAAGAACACGGACAATCTGACTCCAGACAAAGTCTTTGGTCAGAGCTCCGACCCGATGGTGGACTTCCAGCTGCCTGGCTTGCAGCCTTGGCGGTTTAGGCTTTGGAGATTTAGGATGGACAAACCGGGCGGTTTAGGACTTCAAGGGACTATGCGTCTAGGGCTTAGTTTAGGGCTTGAGCCTGAGCAGGTTTCAGAGGTTCATATTAATCGTGGAAATGTTTCGTGTTTTCACGGGATGGCGCCGTATGACAGGCAGCTGCGACCAATTCCTCCAAACGCATGCTATATCTATAGGGGACAAAAGCAGTCCGTGAAGCGCACACATGCTATCACCGACGACAGACGCCTTGAAGCAATTGCGAGGGCCGGCGGAGGACGACTCGGACGTGGTTGAGGTAATGGACACGGCGCACCCAGTGGTACCACATTCACCGGAAGTACCAGCGAATGAACCGGCAGCAGGGGTTCAATGGGCACGGCTTAGGATTTGGGGTTCAGAGTTCTGAGTTCTGGGTTTTTGGCTCCTCACACACCCTGAAACATCCTGAAACCACAGCCCTCCGACACTAGATCCTGAACCGCAAACCCTGTTTCCTCACCCCAACCCTAAAGTAGCCATGGTACCATAGCACCCTTTCAGGAACCCTCCCTGTGTCAAGGAGCCCAGATGTGAGCCTAAACCCTAAACCCTAAAGCCCAGCAGGACCTCCCAAGGCCCTTTCATAAAGGCCTTATGGTCCTTAATAGTGGGTATTTGGGTATAGTAGAGGGTAGTTGGCGTGTCTAGGCAAGCCCCCAATCCTAGCCAAAGCTAGCCAAAGATCCAAGACGCGTACTTATCATTAGTGCACCATATGAAGGCTCCTCAGTAGTGCCCTTTTGCCCTGTTCCCTTTGAGGGTGATTGTACGCGGAACTTCGATTTCCTTGCGGATCGATTGTGGAGTTAAGCTAGAAACCCCCAAATCCCAAACCCTCAACGCCCTAAACCTCGTCTACGATCCTCCATTTGCATCAGCAGCAAGGAGACACATGATGCTCCAGGGTTTAGATTTCTGATGTTTAAGGCACGGAGTTGCGGCTTTAGGGGTTCAGGGTTTAGGGTTTGTGGAGTACTATAGGGGCCTTAATGCTTACCTATACTCTGCTGGGGGTTCCTTATTGATTATAACTATCGTATAATATTCCCCAGGCCCTTATGCTACTTCAACCTCAAAAGAAATGTAAAAGCCTGAGCTAGTCCCAACGCAATATATCCATTGGGGTTCCCATCCTTGTCAATTTGCAGCTTTGGATACCCGGAAAGGCCCAAAAGTCTTGCAAGAAGGAGTACTGGGACGCGTTTTAGATCTGTTCGTAAAGTTAGCCTTCTCAAGCCTAAACCCTCGAACTTGACACCGGAGAGTAGACGCCCTCGGCTTAAAAAGGCTATAGGCTGTGGTGCAGATTCAGGGTTCAGGATGTCTATATAACGGCTTTGGGGACCAAGACGCTGAATCTAGGGTTTTTGGGGTTTAGGGTTTGGGCGTTTGGGCTTTGGGGTTTATATATTGGGTTACCTTAACCCTGTACAACCTATGTTTTTAGGGTTCCGTTTTGATGATTTCCTTACATAAGTCCGTAAAAGGTAGGTTCTTCCGGGTTAAGGTCCGGCAGGGTTTAGGGTTGAGGCTTGTGGGGTTCGTGGTGGTGAGTTTGGGGTAGGATTCAAGGTTCTGCGGGTTTAGGGTTTAGGGATTTAGGATTCACGGTTCTGCGGAGACGAGGTTGGGATGGTTCAACAACAGCAACTACTTCCCATCGTTCGTGGAAGAGCTGATGGAGAATTACAGGCCGTGATGTTGTGGCTTTGGAATTCAAGCCCGAAGGTAGCATATGCAGATCGAGCAAGTTCCCTTCCTGCAATGTAACTGATAGTGGGCCATCGTGCATTCTCCCAAGGGGACCACGTTGCGGAATTGTTTCTTTTGATAAGCTGGTTGAGCTTCAGGCTTGGAAATGAGCTTAGAATGCTCAGAGGGTAGCCTGTCGGCTTGAAGATTCTGCTGTTGCGGACTTTCCAGTAAATCCAAGACGTCATGAAGCATCATGCCTTTTACTATGGGTCCATGGAGGGACTGTAGCTCAACTCGGTGCCCCCACGCCGAAACATCCTCAAATGCTAACGCCCTGGCCTCCAAAACAGCTGCAGTCGCAGTTCCCTAGTTTTCTACAGCCCTGAAGCCTTAGGAATCCCGAACGCTCCAGCCGTCAAGACACACAACTCTAGACAGACATTACAAGTATTTACCCTCGAACACTGATGAACATATCCGCGAAGCCACTGAGTTTCTAATACCCGAATTCTTAACAGAGTGTTAAACAACTGAAGCCCTCGTGCCCGAAAGCTCCACAGCCCTAAACTTTGAACCGCTGACGCAGTTCCATCTCAACAACCCTAAAGCCCGATGTCCTTAGCCCTATAACCACCACGCCTGAACCCTGCAACAGCGAAAAGCCTCTAACCGTCAAAGCTGTAGTTTTCCAAACTCTAAACTGAACCCTGAGAGCCTAAGAACTACACCCCCAAGCCCTAGACCACGATCGCACGCCTTATGCTAAACCTTACCTGTCACCTCTAATGCCGCAGTTCCCCGGTACCCTGAACCCTGGACCCCACCTGAAACATCCTGAAACCTTAAATCCTCTCCAAGCCGCAGTTCGCTGGTTCTCAACAGCATCAGCACGGACTTCGTGGGCATGAGTGGGTCATTCGAGCTAACGAAGCTCAGCACGAAGGGAGTTTTAGGGCCTAGGGTTTAGGTGCCTAAACCCTAAACCCTAAACCGTGGGTTTAGGGTTTATATAGGTGCCTTTATGAAGCCCTACATCGGTCCATAGGGTGTAGGGTTTAGCGTGTAGGGATAATTGCCAACAGTGTTTTGCTGTTTCTTATGCTAGTTCCAGTACAAAATCGCAGAAAAACCTATTGGAATCACTAAGGGCCTCTTTTGAGCTGCCCGTAGGAAACCCTAGATCGGTCGTGGGGTTTAGCGTATACCTAGAGGCTCCATAGTAGTTCCTTTTTGGGGTTCATATCCCTAAGCATCCGAAGACCTCAAATATGACCAAAGTGCTGGTTTGGTAAGCACAACAACGCAAGGCCTTGTTTTTTGTGGTTCCGGACGGAGCATGTGTGTGATGTATGAAAGTCCTAGGATTTCATATACTTTAGCCTATGGCATGCTTTCCTCTAATTACACATGCATGGTAAGATGCCATTTATAGCGAGCTTGCTTGACTTCATTGATTTTTTGAAAAAAATATTAAATTCCGACACGTTGGTTGAATTGAGAAAACATTGATTTATAGATTCTTGCACGGGTTTTGCTATGTGTATCAGATATGTATATAATGTATATATATATATATATATATATATATATATATGTATATATATAGGGATTTGTCCGACACAGAAGCCACCAAGCAGCATCAACAACGAAAACAAATATGTATACATATATATAAATATATATTTTTATATTTACTTTATATATATATATACATATGTATCATTCTACATATATATACATATATACATATATATATATATATGTATAAATAGATACCGATTTTTAGAGATATATATATATATATATATATATCGAATCCTTGCATTAATGCACAGGCTTGGAAGTCTCCAACCACCCGCCGCTTCGCCGCCCAGGAGCATGCAGGCATACATGTACAATTAGGAAGACCATGATCCTAGATATATATAGTGCAGTCACGATTATTCAAGGAATATGTTTTTCAAATTAGGAACTGGCCAGAATTCCCCAGATGTCTCGCACTCCAGACTGCACCGAGGCCCGTATCAAACAAACACGTGTGCATACAGACGACGTAGACTGCATGCATAGCCATATATATATGACAGAAGCCTGAGCTCCCAATAATTCGTAATTCATGGTCGGTGCCCGCCAGCTGCGGCCTTCCTTTTGCCGAGGCCGGAAGCAGTGGATGGGATGAGGTTTCAGTGTTATAATATGTTTCAGCGATTTCAGGGGAGTTGTGTCTTCGGGGAAATATATTTTGTATATATATATATATATGTATATATATATATATATCGAATACATGGAGATGTTAATGTAGTTTTATTGATCTGGGCTTTGGCATAATGCGGGTTTCCGGTGCTGAGTGTGGAGCAGACATGTGTGCTTCTGCAGTTACAAGCATGGGCTCAGACCGCTGGGTCATGTACATGTTTAGGTTGCCTAGATTATATATATTTGTTAGTGCACAGGCATGGTCCTAGAATATGTACAACAATATATATACGGAGACTTGTAGACAGACAAGTCTCCGTTTGTCTGAGCCCTGCTTGTCGAGATCTTCCCTTCGGATCCTTGGCCGGAGCAGCTGGAAAATTAAATAGACATATATGTTATGTCACATAGTTGAATACGTATATTATATATATATATATATACATACATACACATACACTAGCGAGATATATACTATACGTGTGTGTAGCTTATGTATACCTATATATATATATATATATATATATATATATATATATTATATACAGATTCCAAGCTGAAGCCGGCAGGGGACGGATCCGTCGAGATCTCTAATTAAGTAGATATATACGACTACTACCATATATATATATATATATGATATACATACGATACCAGGATATCTACATACATCAGCTCATGCATCATGAGCCTTAATTTATAGGCATAGCTCTAGATCTAAAGCTGCATTTTGCAGCACTTCGCCATGGCCGATCCCGCGAATGCTGGCGATGAGCAGCGGCGAGCACCTGGGTCTGGTGTCACCCTGCTGCGGGGTCGCTGGGTGCTGTGCTTCGTCCCGGAGGTGGAGATGATGAATGTCCGCGGGTACAACCACGTCGGTGTCGACAGGTACCCCGGGCTTCCGTTTATGCCATGGCCTCCGGAGTTTCCGCCTTTTTTGGAGCCGCCTGGGTCAGTGGTGCGACCGGGCGACTTGTTGGTACCCATGGCTGCACAGTAAAGCCTTTATATACATACATATATATAAGCATATATATATATACATTATCTTTCTGAATATATATATATATATATATATATATGTATATATATATGAAGATACATGTCAAGTTTTGCAGAGAACTGTTTACAGTTGATATTCGCTGCCTAGAATATATATATATATATATATTTTTTTTTGGTTTATGTATTTAGATATATATGTATTTAGATATATATGTATTTAGATATATATGTATGTCTTTATATACATATATACCAGGCTCAGCCCGGGAACCTCGGTGCTCAGCCTGGGGTCTGGCCTGGCGAACGTGCTGCCGTAGCTGTGGCGGCAGCAGTAATTCTTGGTTTTTGTTAATATCTAATCGAATTCATATGCTGGGACTTATCTTGAATCAATCGGAGGATGGACCTGCCACGACTGCCGCCCCTGAAGCTTCTCATGAAGCTGAAAGGCTTTCTGCGGTAACTGTGGCAGCACTACACAACAAATACATATGTTAACTATATGTGTATACATATATGTATATATACATATATTTTTTCCTCATTATATGTCTATAGATTATACGGTATCTCATAGTTAAATTGCACACTATATATGTATATATGTTCCTATATATATATATATATCCAGGTCGATGCAGGAGCAGCCCAAGCACCTCCGCCTTCTCCCGTGGTGCATGCTGGGGCGAGTTTAGGATCTGAAGGAGCTGCTGCAGTAACTCTGGCAGCAAATAATAAGCTCGGCTGGCCTTTTTGTTGTTATATATACAGTACCACGTATGTTTTTGCTGAGCTCTTTTATATTTATGCAGGCCCCACGAGCAGCACCACCGCCTGCGGCTCCCAATGCACCTGGACCACCGCCTGCGGCTCCCAATGCACCTGGACCACCGCCTGCGGGTCCCAATGCACCTGGTCAAGATACTAAGGCAGTCTTAATTCACGAATTGATTTATGCACATCTGTCTACCCCTATATATTAATATATTTCGATATATTAATATAATATATAATGTATATATATATATATATATGTGTGTATAGATATATATATATATATATATATATTATGCATCATAAATGTCATGGTTGCTAGCGATTCTTCGGCAAGAGAACCACATATATACGGATGTGTTCGTGTGTATAATGTGTATAATATAGACACGATGAGCGAGCAGAGGTCACACCGGACCTGGCGACGACCCCGAAGGCTGCAGCTGCCGCTTCGCAAACAATATAGTTTACTCGCTACTGACTGATCTATAGAGCTTCTATATATATATATATACATATTTACATGTACATATGTATTTTTTTTAATTTTTGTAGTATACAAATTGAGCGAACAGAGGTCGCAGCGGACCTGGCGAAGAATGCCCCGAAGGCTGCAGCTGCCGCTTCGCAAACAATATAGTTTACTCGCTACTGACTGATCTAAAGAGCTTCTATATATATATATATATATATATATACATACTTACATGTACATATGTATGTTTTTTTACTTTTGTAGTATACAAATGAGCGAACAGAGGTCGCACCGGACCTGCCGAAGAATGCCCCGAAGGCTGCAGCTGCCGCTTCGCAAACAAATATATATATAGTTTACTCGCTACTGACTGAGATATATAGAGCTTCTATATATATATATATATTTACATGTACATATGCATGTTTTTTTTGCTTTTGTAGTATACAACAAGAGGACAGAGAATAGGTCCATAGAATGACTCGGGCTGAGGGTGATGACGTCAGAGCTTCCGGACTGCCAGAAGCGATCCCTGCGAAGA